TCGAGAAGGCCTCAGAACATGACAGCGACGGAAGGTTCAAAAGATCGCACGGTCCAGCAGTCTCGAAAGCCCAGCAAATGACTTGCAACTCACACGCCGCGCAATCAGTCGGCGCGATCTTCGACTCGGCCAAGGAGCGATGGCACCATGGCATTGGGCTGCCCCCTGCACGCCCCACGTGCTTCAGCAGCCACTGCGTGGTCCCGGGGCCCTCGATGGGCCAGTCCTCGTAGAAGTTCGCCGACGCTGACCCTGCAGCGGCTCCTCCGACACAATCCTGGATAGCGCCGCGCCGAGAGTCGGCGCGCACACCGACCTCATCCTCGCGAGTCTTCTCCACGAACACCACCTCCTCGATGCCTCCCGAAGCCCGCAAGCGGCACAGCTCTTTCAAGCCGACCACCGCCTCAAGCTCGCCGCCACTGACGCGCTGGCCCAAGGAGAAGCTAGGCGCCTCGGCCGCCGCGACCCACGCAGCGCCTGGCTCCACGTCAAGGACAGCTCGCTCAGGTGCTCTTGGGACCGGGGCCGCACCCGCCCCCAGCAGGTCGCCAAGAGGGAACTCAGCACCGCCCCAGTCACCCCAGCCACTGACATCGTCGGCCTTCACCAGATTGGGCACACTTCCGGCATGTAGACGCACAGCTTCAGCATGTCCATCACGGATAGCCAGTCGCACCGCTTCCACGTCCACGCCAGCGCGAAAACGATACGCGGGGTACGAGAGGTTGGCAGGGAGGCGCCCTCCACGACGCACAGGGTAGATCTCTTCGATGTCTTCCCCATCCTAGATCTCGTCATAGATGTCATCATCCGGAATCAACACCGTCCAATGCTTAACGGAAAGAGGCCAAAGTAGGACGCGTTCGTGCACTAGGTTCTCGTCGTACTTGAACAGCAATTGGGTCCCTGGCCGAAGGGTACTTCACCACGCCTCGTTTCCCACTCTCGGAGCTCGGGGTTGCAACATGTCTCGGGTTGCGGTCCGCGCCCCATTCACTTACCGAGGTCAAGAAAAAACCGAACACAACGCCGCCCAGCACCTCGTACGTATGTTTCTTCGGTGCCTCCACGATATCGCACGGCGCAGGCGCCGGGCAAAGGGGCACCTCCACCACTGGGCACGTGCAGATCGGGCAAGTCACCTCGGGGCACTTGAGGTCGCAGGTCGCCCCTTCTCCGCAGTGCAGCTCGCAGGCAGGACACGGAGGGGGCCGTGGACACGCCGCCTGTCCCGCGATGGCAGCCAGCGAACTTTGACCGAGAGTCCGAACCCTGCGTTCCCTAGCAGGACGGAAAACATGCAGGACCTCCGAAACGCTCGAGCTGAGGAGCGGCTATAGAAAGATAGATCGCCGAACCGTTCACAAACCATTAAAGTGCCCGCACAACCATGTGCCAAAAATGTACGTTCTGCGACAAGAACGGGGCGATGTGTTGGCTCGTGGGGGCCCTTTGGGGGACCTCAGGGCTCATGGGGGCCCTTTGGGGGGCCTCAAGGGGCGGCTTGGGAGCGGCAAGGGCCGTCCTGGAGCCGTCCGCGGGGCGTGCCGCGCCGATCCGGGGCAGTCTTGGACAGTCCGCTGTGCGCTCGGGGCCGCTCGGAAAGCTCAGCGGCCCAGGGCGGCCCGAAGCGCCCGAGGGCCCGCTGGGAGCGGCCCTGAGGAGGCCGGTTCGCTGCCATTGCTCGCCAATCCTGGGAGCAGCGAACGCTGCATAGTAGGATAGATGACGCAAGGGTGCAGCTTCACCCCCCACATCTCGCTCAACAGCGCCAGCGCCCGCTGCCACTGCTTGCCCTTCTCGCACGCGCTGATCCCAGCGCTGCAGCTGATGACAATGGGCTCCGATGTTGTGTCGACGATCTCCCTGAGCAGCGACAGGGCCCGCTGCCACTGCCGACCTTCCCCACACGCGCTGGCCCCGGCGATGTAGCTGATGAAAAGTGGGCTCCACAACCGATGCAACAAACTCGCTGAGAAGCGACAGCGCCCATTGCCGCTGCTGTCCTTTTCCACGTGCGATGACAACGGCAACGTAGTAGCATTCGCTGTGCGTCACACGATGCTCTCAAAACCTCTCCCCCCCGCTCTCTGGCCCCTCCCTCCTTTCCCCTTTTCTGCGTCTCCCCCCCAGCCTTTATCCCACCCCATGGGAGAACGACTGCGCAAGGCATGTCAGTTTCGGTGTCGAAACTGTGTATACCGTTTGGGGCCCCCTTTTTCAAGAATCCCGCCCCAGGACCTTCAGCAGGAGCCACCTCGTCGAGAAGCGCGCGCGCCCACTCCCTCTCGCCCCCCCCCCCCAACGTGTGAGGACCGTCATTAGGCCTCACCCATGAGGACCGTCAATAGGCCTCACACCCCGCGCAGCTTCCATCATATGGGGCTGCGTGGGTCCCTCCCCACACCTTTACATGAAGGCGTCATCAGCCACCAGAGGGGGCCGAGGACCTCACTGCAGCCCCTCGGCCAACGAAGACGGCTGCAAGGAGGGGCCCAACGTACCTCCACACCTCTTCACCTTCACATTATGGCGTCAATTGCCACCCGCTCGATTTTCCTCCTCCCCCCCCTCGTCCCTGGTCACGTCACGATTTGCGCCAGCGCCACCTGGGAATTTCAACCATTCTCAAGCATCCCCAGACGACGCTGGCGCGCATCGTGACGTCCCCCTCCCCCGACCTTTCCCCCCCCCCCGTGACGCCCGTTCTCGCCAGGGGATGAAAAAAATGTCTCCAGCCAGGATCTCTCTCCTGGCGCACGTCTGCCCAAAAAGGCCACCGCGGGCCCTCAGCCGAGAAGCGAGATCAGCACCAAGAGTCATTAGCAGGCGGTGCACCGCACCGGCGCGGCGGCGGAGCCACCTTCAGCGCCGACACGACCCCGGTGCCCTGGAGGACCTGGCGCCGAACGTCAGTCGTTCCACCCTCCTTCTCCTTCGCATCCTTGCTGCTGCGCCTCCTGATTCCACCCTCCTCCTCTTCTCTCCTCCGCCCACCTTTCCCCTTATCCTATTGTTTGCTCTCTTCATCCTCGGGCTATTTTCCTGCCTCCCCCCTTCCATCGCCGTCCCTCATCGCCCCCCATCCCCCATCCGCTCCTCCTCTCACGTCGTCACAACCTTCGTCATCTCCCTCCGCATTCCGACTCCCCCACCGCCTCTTCCCTCATCTCATCCCCCCCTTCTCCCGTCTGCCCCATCCTCCCTATCCCCCTCTCCTCCCTCGCCCCTCCCCCCCAATCCTGCACTCCCTTGTCGTCCACATCCACATCCTCATATTCTTTCCGACACTTTCAACGCACTTCCCCACCTTCCCCCAAGTATTTCGCAATCGAGTTTCCAAAAAACAAACAAAAACACAGGGTTTCGTAACAGTGATTTGCTAAAAAAGCTTACGCGCGAGCTCTTGCGAAATCTTAAGAAAACCATTGGTTTTTCAAGATTTTCACAACATGCTACCAAACGGGCGTCGCGCGCGCGCATGTCGAAATCTGTCGAACGCCCTTGCGCGTGTGCCGTCGCGAGAATCCTCTGCAAAAAAAATGGGACGAAGTGCAGACGCGCGCGTCGTACGGGACGGGGGGGCGGGCGTACGCCGAATCCTTCAAAACCCCTCGGTCTCGGAAGGTATGACACGATCGCGCCGTCCAACAAAAATCAGCACGCACAAAAAAAAAAAAAAATAAAAACAAAACTTAAAGACAAAAGCATAAAAAAAAGAGAATAAAAATAAAAAAAAATAAGTAAAAAAGACAAAAAAGAAGGAAAAAAAAAAACAACAAAAAAAAAGGTAGGACAAAACAACAACAAGAAAAAGATACAACAAAACCAAACATCACAAACAAAACAAAAACACAACAAAACAAACACAATGAACCATAAACAAAACAAACACCTAACACAAGCAATACAAACCAAAGAAATCAAAAAACACACACACAACACCAACAAAACAAAAAACTACACAACTCAGCAAAGGCGGGTATTTCGCAACACTGATTTTCAACAAAAGCGTGCGCGCGCGCTCTTTCTTGCGTTGTCGTCGTCGTCGTCGTCGTCGTCGTCGTCGCCATCCTCCCTCCTCCCGCGTCGTCGTCGTCGTCGCCTACGTCGTCCTCTGTCTTTCCTCGTGTTCGTCGTCGTCGTCCTCTTTGGCGTCGTTGTCGTTTCCGTCGTCGTTGTCGCCGTGGTCGTCCTTCCTCCTCCTCCCTCGTCGTCGTCGTCGTCCGTCGTCGGCGTCTCGTTGTCGTCCCTCCTATTTCGTCGCCGTCGTCGTCGTCGTCGTTGTCGTCGTCGCGTCCCGTCGGTGATCGTCCTTCCTCCTCCCTCGCATTGTCTTCGTTCGGCGTCGGCGTCCTTCCTAATTCTTCGTCGTTCGCGTCGTCGCCGTCCTCCCTCCTCGTTGTCGTCGTTGTCGTCGTTGTCGTCGTCGTCGCCGTCGTCGTCCTCCCTCCTCCCTCGTCGTCGTCTTCGTTGGCGACGTCGTCGTCGTCTTCGTCGTCGTCGTCGGCGTCGGCGTCGTCGTCTTCGTCGTCGTCGACGTCGGCGTCGTCGTCGTCGCCGCCGTCGTCGTCGTCGTCGTCGGCCGTCTTGCTTCTCCGGCCTTCTTGGGGCGCTCTTGAGACGCCCCCGGGGGTTCCAAGACGACCCCGGAGCGATATCTGTGCTCGGTCCCGCATGGGTTTTGCGAACCAAGTTGCGGGTAGGTGGGTTGGATGATTGCGCGAGCAGTGGAGTTGACAACTTCAAGTTCGGTAAGTAAATTGCACCGCGTACATTGTACACCGTAGATTTCACAATATTCATGACACCACATAGATTGCACCACGTAGATAGCTCCAGATAGATTCAACAACATGAACTGTGGGGCCCACACTGGCGAATATTAGTGTGTCACGCCAAGCGGGTGCGTGCTTCTCGCACGCTCTGGCCTGGGTACGAGGGCGGTAGCAGCGGCAGCGGTGGCACCTGCAGCTCGAATTGCTATTCCCAACGCCCCCTTTCCTTCATCATCCCTCTCATGCCTTGCCCTCCGTATGGTTTTCCCCCCATCCATGCGCTCGAACGGTTTGCTGCCCTGGTCGGCACAGACCACGGAGTTGATGAACTCCAGCCGGATGGTGTGCGACAGCGAGAAAGCCTGGCGAGCAGCACAGGACCGCCCTTGCTCACCCTTTCCATATTCCTCCTTAGTGCCCAAGACGGGTCGAATGAGCCCCATGAGCTCCTCGGGAAAAGGGGGAGAGGAGGTGTCACGCGCGACGGCCTCCTCCAAAAGTCGCTACGCCGAGTGTTTCGCTGGCATAGTTGCGGATTTGCTGCGGGATAGCAGGACAGGAAGGTAGAATGATGAGAGGCGGGAGTACGATCGCGATACTACGAAAATGACAAGATCAGAGGAAGCGCGATCCACAGTCGCTGGCCTGAGAACTCGTTCTCGGAGAGGGGTCGGAAACCAGGAAGCTCTCCCCCCTCCGTGCAAAAGAAAACCCGACCGGCGGGGGTTAACAAAACAAGGGGGCTCTCCCCCCACCCCCCCACCCCTTCCCTCGGGAAGAACCTAGGGGGTCCGGAACCCCCCACCGGGACTCTTCAAGGTCGGGACTCTGGACCCCCCCCGGAACAATCTGCGGGGGGGTCTGGATCCCCCCACCCACCCAGGGAAAATTACTGGGCGGCGTCCAGAGACCCCCTCCCCCGTAAAAGTCTTCGGGGGGATCGACCCCCCCCCGAAGACGACAACGACGACGACGACGACGACGACAGCGACAGCGGCAGCGGCGGCGGCGGCGGCGCACCTGCCGCCAGCGCCCGCGCCAGGCGCTGGCTCTGATTGAATGCCACTCGGGTTCGATCTAGCTCTCCCAGTATCCTACTAGGGCTCTGCTGTACTTTGCGCTACACCACCCTACTTTACTCTACTCGACGTCCGTCTACCTTAATCTACCCTTCACTGCCAAACTCTGCTTTACCCTGGTCTATTGCAATCTATGAAATCTAACCTACCGTGCCTGAAAATACTCCATTACACTCCGCTTCGCTCTTACTCGGCTCTACTCCACTCCTTCTCTACTCTGCTCCGCTCGTCGGCGGCGTCGTCGAGTCGAACTCGTGACCGTCGTCGTCGTCGTCGGCAGAGTCGGCACGTCGTCGTCGTGGTCGTGGTCGTCGCCGTCGTCGTCGTCTTTGTCGGCGCCATCGTCGTCGTCATCGTCGTCATCGTCGTCGTTGTCGTCGTCGTCGTCGCCGTCGCCGTCGTCGTCCCGTCGTCGCCGACGTCGGCGTCGGCGTCGGCGTCGGCATCGGCGAGTCGTCGTCCTAAGTCCCACCAGCCATCTGGTCGACTGGTGGTATAAGAAGGGTCTCTTTCCTCTTCCACAACCACTCTTCCCTTCGGGGAGGGGGACCCTCCCCCTCCCCTCCCTGAAGATTGTTGGGAGGTTTCGCGAGGTGTCGGAGGCTCCTTTTTCGGCCAGAGGGAGGGCCAATGCTTGACACCACTCGCGAGGATTGTGACCCCCAAGGGGGGGACGCACATCGAGCACCGCCCCTCTTTTGAACGACCGCCTCCAAGATGGCCCCAAGAGGCCCTCCAGGGCTCCCAAGAGGGTTCCAAGAGGCCACCGAGAGGTCCCCAAGAGGCCCCCGAGCGGCCTCAGAGAGCCCCAGATAACCTCCAAGATGGCTCAAGATAGCCCAAGCTGACTCAAGATGGCTCCCAAGATGCTCCACTAGGCACCAAGACCGCTTCAAGACGGCTCCAAGACGGCTCGCGACGGCCACGGGGCCTCCCCGGGAGGCCGCCAAGAAGCCACGCGGGCCCGGAGATAGCCCCAAAACGCTGTCCAGGCCAGCCTCCCTCGCTGTTTGATTATGCGTGTCTTTTACTCTCTCCCCCAGCCAACTCTCATTGGCAATTGGGGATACTTTTTTGGTCGGCGGCTCCCAGACGGCGGACAGGGAGCGGAAGGCGTGCAAGTGGGGATGCACGGAGCGTCAAGAAATTACCGAACTACAAAGAAGAGAACGAAGAAGGCAACGCATACCGAGTGAACTTCCGAATCGTCCCCGCCGCACAGCAAGCAGGAGGGTAAACCAGAATACCAGAATGACAAGGAGAGAGCGCGCGCGCGGAACTCGCAAGGGGGGGGGCCCTCTTAGCTACCCCCCCCTCCTTGGCCACCCCCTGCCCCGGATGCCCCTGGAAAGCTACCCCCCCACATCCCACCCCCTTTTTGGTCCCCCCAGTCCCCTCCAGTCCGAACCCGAACCCTAAACACGAAGCCTGAGCCCTGCCCCGAACCCGAAACACTCACCCTATCCCTATCCCTAACCCGTAACCCCTGACCCGAAACCTACTGGCCCACAACCCTAGACCTAAACAGTAAACCCCCCAGGACCCTGACCTTAACCTCTAACCGTGATACCCAAACCCTAATCCAAAACCTAACCCTACACATTATTACCTTAACCCTAAACCCTCGTCGTCGTCCGTCGTCGACGCCGTCGTCCGTCGTCGACGCCGTCGTCCGTCGTCGTCGTGGTCGTCGTCGTGGCGGTCGTCGTCGTCGTCGCCGCCGCCGCCGCCGCCGCCGTCGTCGTCGCCGTCGTCGTCATCGTCGTCGTACGACGACATGCCCCCCCCCCTCCTCCTTCCCATCGTACCGAAGATCTCTCGCGTCGACGACGACGACGACGACGACGACGACGACGACGACGACGACGACGACGACGACGACTACCACGACGACGACGGCGGCAACTGGCCCAAGACCGTAGTCTAATCCTAGATAGATCCGTTCCAAATGGACCCGGGGTCGCGAAAACGGCCCCCTGACGCCGAGATCGAGGAAAGCCCGCCCACCGACGACCGACGACGACGACGACGACCCAGGGTCAGAGAAAACGAGACCACGACCCAGGGGCAGAGAAAGCGAGGAAGCGAAGCAGGGCCCGAGAAAACGAAACCACGGCCCAGGGGCCGAGAAAACGAAAAAACTAACCAGAGTCCAGAAAAACGAACCAGGGTCCGAAAAAACGAGACCACGATCAAGGGCTGAGAAAACGCGAAAACGAACCAGTGTCCGATGCAACGTAACCACGGCACAGGGGCCGACAAAACGAGACAACCAGAAAACAAACCTGTGCCCGAGAAAACAAAACCACGACCCAGGGGCCAAGAAAACGAGACAACGGGAAAACGAACCATGGCCCGAGAAAGCGAGAACGCGACCCAACGGCAGAGAAAACGAGAAAACGAGAAAACGAACCAGAGCCCGAGAAAACGAAACCACAGCCCAAGGGCCGAGAAAACGAGACAATGAACCAGGGTCCGAGAAAACGAGGTAACGACCCAGGGGCCGAGAACACGAGAAAACTACAAAACAACACAAGGTCCGTGCAAACGAGCCCACAACCCAGGCCGCGAAAACGCGAATATCGCTCCTAGAAAGCGAGACCACGACCCAGGGGCCGAGAACACGAGAAAACGAGAAAAGGAATCAGGGGCCCGAGAAAACGAGACTACGAACCAGGAGCCGAGAAAACAAGGAAACGAGAAAACAACCCAGCGTCCGAGAAAACGAAACCACAGCCCAAGGGCCGAGAAAACAAGAGAACGAGAAAACGAACCAGGGTCCGAGAAAACTGGACCACGACCCAGGCGCCGAGAAAACATGAAACGAGAACACGAACCAGGGTCAGAGGAAACGAGACGACGACGACGACGACGACGACGACGACGACGACGACGACGACATCTACGACATCTACTACGACGACGACGACGAAGACGAAGACGAAGACGACGACGACGACGACGACGACGACGACGACGACGACGACGACGACGGCGGCGGCGACGGCAACGACGACGACGACGACGACGACGATGACGACGACGACGACGACGACCTTGGACCTCGAATTCCGCTCAGGCGTGTCCCCGGACACCTCCAGGTGTCCATCCGACGCGATTTGTCACTCCGACTCGACTCCAAGCAGGCCCGGCGCGCAAAAACGGACCCCTCAAACCGAAAACACTGAAAAACCTCCTGGAACCTCAATGTGCGAAGGCCTACCCACTGGCCCGCGCCTTCAATGCGCGCCGCGCCGCGCGCGCGCGACTCCGATAGCGAGCCCCCGCGTGACCCCGGCTGCAAAGGAAGGGGGGGGGTAGCTTCCGAAGCCCCCCCACTTTTAGACAGGGGAGCCCGGGCTTACCTCTGGCCCCGAACAGGGAGGAAGGAGGGGGGTAGCTTCGAAGCCCCCCCCCCTTTAGCCAGGGCCCCCCCAGCTCAAAAAAGCTTCCAAAAGGGAGGGGGGGGGAGCTTCGGAAGCCCCCCCCTTTGTAAAGGGGAGCCCGGGCTTGCCTCGGGCCCCAAACAGGGAGGAGGGGGGGGTAGCTTCGAAGCCCCCCCCCTTTAGACAGGGCACCCCAGCTCAAAAATGCTTCCAAAAGGAAGGGGGGAGCTTCGGAAGCTCCCCCCCGCCCTTTTCGAAGGAAAGGGGGGGGAAGTAGCTTGAAGCTGGGTCCCCCCTTTTTGTATTGAGTTCCGTGCGGGCGCGCTGTTTCATAACAATTGCTCGAGGAGTGCGGAGGTAGGACAAACGTCTGAAGATGGATGTATCCAAACTTTTGACTGCACGGCAACATGCAGCCCCCGTACACCCTCGGTGATGGGCGAAGACACGCTAAAAGATCCGCAACCGTGCCCCTGTGGCGCGACGTGGGATGCCCCCAGGTCAGTTGCTCAACCCCTGAGCCTCGCTTTCAGTCCTCAGGATTCTCTTGAGCGCCCGAGCCCCAAACTCTCAATTCTCTTGAGGCTTCCCGTTTGCCCTCTGGTCCACGGCTACCTCTGACTCATCACCTCGCTTCTCCAGGGCCCTCACTCCTCAACCACTGCGGGGGCCCTTTCAGGACGTCACGCCCAGCGCCGAGGCTCTCGACCCCGAGTTCGAGGACGACCCCCCTCCCCGTCTGGCTCGGCATATTCGGGCGGATCGGGCGTCGGGGTCCCTGGGCTGAAGGCGTTCGGTTGAGGATTTGCTTTCTTGGACGACCAGGGCAGTGTCCGAAAAGCGATGCACGGCACGGTCTCTGGGGTCCGGCAAGCTCAATGCGCTGTAAGGGCTGAGCTTAACGGTTTCCTGCAATTGCTTCGCCACGGCACGGCGCCACTTCAGGTAGGCATTGATAATGTCACCGTGGTCAGAGGCTTCCGACGAGACCCAGTTTGGTGCCACCAGGCCCGGCGTCCTCATGCTGACCTGTGGCATACGATTTGGAACGCGATCGGAGATTCCTTCTCTGGGGGCGAAGGGGACCTCGTCGTCGTAAAGGCGAGAGCGCATTCCACAAGCACCTCAAGGGACCCGAGCGATGCCATTATTAGGTAATCAGGCGGCTGACCTCCAGGAGAAGGAAGACGCAAAATTGTGCGCTATCCCTCAGCACTTTACCGCAACATGGGTGGCTAGATCAAAGAAGGCATTTTCAATGCTCGGCCTGGTCGGCGCTACGACTTGGTAGTATAGGCACCTTTGACGACACCACTGGCCGCGCGCAGAATGTTTCTCTGGCTCTTGGGCCCCGCCCGCGTCGTGCCGTGCTCCCTGCCCCGGAGTCTCGGCACGTTCTTGAAGGGCATCAAGGGTCCTGGAGATGTGTGGATTGTGTCAAGCGGGCCCACAACGATAAAACCAAGGCTGTGTTGTCCCGTAGGTTTTGCAGGACGGGTGTTTCCCAACACGGCCGGAAGAAGAGCACAAGCTGCCCAGGGAGGGCCACTATACCCTCTGCAGGGAATATTGTACCTTTTCAAGTGCTCGTGCGTGTCGTCCGCTCACAGGATGTCCGAAGGGCCCTAGACGGCACAATTCGAAGGCCCGCAGAAACCGTTTGTTGGCGGGCAAGCACCCCTTGGAGAATGAAAGGCTGCCTGGAGAGGTGGTCGCACTGACGGGGGCCGAAGAATTGTCTTTCCTCGAGTCGAGTGGCATTGCTGCCATTGGCTCTGCTCCCTCCGCCGCTAGAAGCGGTGCGGAGGGATCCTAAAGGGGGAGACCGCAGGTGGCAGCGAGGTCCTCGCCCATTTTGTGAGCGCGGAAAATAAAACAACCTCCAGGGCATCCCGGGTGGATGTTCCCTCCCTTCATCCCCACTGCGTTTCTCCCTCCCTCCTTCTCCTCCTCCTCCTCCTGCACTACACTGCACATCCCCATCGAGCCCTCGCAAAGCCGCACGAGCTGAGCCTGGGACTCGGGGCTCGCCTCCAGCTGGCCACCTTCAATCTGATTATGGGCATCGTCGCGCGTGCCGCGTGCCGCTCCCTAGAGCGGACAACACGCGATCGGTGCGCCTCATGCACTCAAGCCACGGATTTTCCGTGGCCCTAAGGAGCCTTACGGCCACGGGGGAAAAAACGGCCCACGTAAAAGTTTGGCCTCCAGGGCCCGCGAACGAACAGGCCCGAAACAGCCTCATCCTGCTTCTCCTCTTCCTACTCCTCCTCCTCCTCCTCCTCCTCCTCCTCCTCCTCCTCCTCCTCCTCCTCCTCATCATCAGCATCATCATTATCATCAGCAGCAGCACTCTCAGCATCATCAATATCATCACCACCACCACCATCACCACGTTCATCACCACCACGACACTCCTCCTCCTCCTCCTCCTCCTCATCATTATCATCATCATCATCATCATCATCATCATCATCATCATCATCATCATCATCATCATCAGCATCATCATCATCAGCATCAGCATCAGCATCATCATCATCATCATCATCATCATCAGCATCAGCATCAGCATCAGCATCATCATCATCATCATCATCAATATCATCAGTATCATCATCATCATCAGCAGCAGCAGCAGCATCGTCATCATCATCATCATCATCAGCATCAGCATCATCATCATCATCATCATCATCATCAGCATCAGCATCAACATCAGCATCATCATCATCAGCAGCAGCATCATCATCATCATTAACATCATCAGCAGCATCAGCATCAACATCATCAGCATCAACATCATCATCATCATCAGCATCATCATCATCATCATCGTCAGCAGCATCATCATCATCAGCATCAGCATCATCATCCACATCATCATCAACAGCAGCAGCAACCTCATCACCAGCATCATCAGCATCATCATCACCATCGGCAGCATCATCCTCACCACCACCATCATCAGCATCATCGTCATCGTCAGCATCATCATCATCACCAGCATCATCAGTATCACCATCATCATCATCACAATCAGCATCGTCAGCATCATCACACGTATTCTCATCATCACCACCATCATCATCAGCAGCAGCCGCATCATCATCATCAGCATCATCATCATCGTCGATATCCGCATCATTATCATAATCAGCATCATCATTATCATCATCATCAACATCATCATCAGCAACATCATCATCATCAACGTCATCATCAGCTTCATCAGCATCAGCATCATCATAATCGTCAGAATCATCATCATCATCATGACCACCATCACCACCACCAGCATCAACATAATCATCATCAGTATCACCATCATCATCATAATCATCATCGTCATCATCACAATCATCGTCGGCATCAGCAACACCATTATCGACAGCAGCATAGCCGACATCATCATCATCAGCATCATCAGTATCATCAGCAGCATCATCATGATCATCATCACCATCAGCATCAGCATCATCATCATCATCATTAGCATGATCATCCACAGCAGCATTATCGTCATGAGTTACCGCCATCACCATCACCATCATCGTCATCAGCAGCATTACCATCATCATCGTCATCATCATCAGCATCAGCATCGTCATCAGTATCATCAGCCTTAGCATCATCAGCATCATCAGCATCACCAGCTTTATCAGCATCATAATCATCATGATCAGCATCATCAGCATCACTATCATCATCATCCTCATCATCATGAGCATCGTCAGCATCAACATAATCATCATCATCATCAGCCGCATCATCAGCAGCAGCATCAGAACTAGCATCATCAGTCCTCGTCCCTCCTCCTCCTCCTCCTCCTGCTCCTGCTCCTCTTCCTCCTCCTCTTCCTCCTCCTCCTCCTCCTGCTCCTCCTCCTCCTCCTGCCCCTCCTCCTCTGTTCCCCCTATTCCTCCTCCTGTTTCGTTTGTTCCGCATTCCTCCTTTCGTCCCTCCCCTTTCTTCTTCTCCCACCACCTCCTCTTCCTCATCGTTATCCGTCCTCGAAACTTGGACCGCGTACCTGTCCAAGCGTTAGGTGTGACCATAATTCCGAGCCTCCCGGGATTTCAGAAAGGGCGTACAACGCCCCAAAACCTAAAAGCTAGATCCCCGACACTCCTGCATCCTCCATGATCCATCCTCTTCCTCCTCCTCCTCCTCCTCCTCCTCCTCCTCCTCCCCCCTCCTCCCCGTCTCCTCGACTCCTCCCCTCCTCCTCGTCGTCCTCCTCTGCCTCCTCGTCCTCCTCCTCCGCCTTTCCTCCTCCTCCTGTTCCTCCTTTCTTCCTCCTCCTCCTCCTCCTCCTCCGCCTCCTCCTCCCTCCTCCTCCTCCTCTCTCCTCCTCCTCCTCCTCCTCCTCCTCCTCATCTCATCATCATCATCACCCACCACCACCACCACCACCATCATCATCATCATCACCACCACCACCACCACCACCACCACCATCATCATCATCATCATCATCATCGTCATCATCATCATCATCGTCATCATCAGCATCATCATCATCATCATCATCATCATCATCATCATCATCATCATGATCCTCCTTCTCCTACTCCTCCTCCTCCTCCTCCTCCTCCTCCTCCTTCTCCTCCTCCTCCTCCACATCCGATTCCGTCACCTCCGTTTTCTTTTCCGTTGTTGCCCATGCCAACAGACCCCCTACACCCCACCTGCGCGAGGGCGCGCGGTCGCGGCCAGCCTCCCCGAGGAAGCTGCCCACCTGTCTGGTGTCCACCTGCGGGCAAAACTCGACGCCATCGGCGTCGTCGTCTTTGTCGTCGCCGCACTCGTCGTGGCTGGAAGAAAAGAGGAAGGAGACGGAGATGGAACGGGTGAGAAGGGGGAGGGCAGGGAGGAAAAGGCGGGTGGATGGAGGTGGAGTTGAGCCGGGCCGAAGAAGAAGAAAGAAGAAAAGGAGGGACGAGGAGGGAAGAGGAGGAAGAGGGGGGAGCAGGAAGAGTAAGCGACTTTAACAGAGAGAGAGAGAGAGAGAAAAAAAAAAAAAAAAAAAAAAGAGACTGGACGAGAGCGAGAGAGAGAGAGAGACAGAGATCAGCCGCCGTGCCTTCAGCACGACGAGAAGTGAAAGTTCGTAAGTGCTCCCCCCCATATTCCCAGGCGTTACTGGTGCTTTTGGGCGTTGCTGCCGCGACCCACAACGACGCGAATAACCCCCGAGATTTCCCGCGAGACGCCCAAGGCGGTTCAGAAGCGCTCGGAGGCGGCCCCAAAAAAGGCCCAAGAATGGCGGCGATACCCTCCAGACGGCCCAAGACGCGACGCCCCCATGGAGGCCCAAGAGAATCCCAAGAGAAGCCCCAAGAGACTCAAGAGGCAATAACGGTCCCAACCCCCGCCGAAAACGTACATCTCCAGCATATCTACCTCTGGGGCCTTCACAACGCCCACGACGGAGTGAAACGCAAGGGCACAGGGCTTGACCACGAGGTAATAAGCTGAGAGCCCTACTCTTAGGATAACGTCGGCGACGTATCGAGGCACCCAACAACTCATCCCTCGATGGCAAGCATGACGAGGAGGTAACAGAGAGCCCATGAGATAGAGGGGGATCGTAGATAGACGTGGACATTGTCCGATGCTACGATCCCAATAGAGTCGCACGCGGCCGCGCAACTAGCAAATAGGACAGCGCTGCCTTGAGCCGAAACAGCGTCGGATATAGCGCTCGCCATACAGCCTCTCCTCAGGGGGGGGGGCGGGGGGGGCGAACGCGAGATCTTTGTCCTAGTTGATGACATCAAGTCAAGAAGAAGGATGGAGATGTTGTTTTTTGTTTTCAATGTCCCCGGCAGCGCACAGACAAGCATAGGAAGAACAGCACGAAGCACCTAAGCTGGCCATTGCCGATTGCCGCGACCAACCACAGATGATTAGGGATAATCACGGGCAAGACCTCGCGACCATCCACAGATGATTGAAGGGGCCGACAGGCCAAATGCCAGCCGTCAATGCGCGCAGGGACCGAGGGGACATGGCCGAACGGTCAGATCCCTTCTAGGTAAGAAAGAGATAGTCCCCGTGTCCGGGAATCCATGGTAGCTGCGACCCTTTGAATATCTACGCATGTGGACCGGCGATAATGACTTCATTGTAAGCATATGTGCCCGTGTCTGGGCAGGGATAACTACGCCTAAGTTTGAGTAGTCGTCCTCATAAGTATCCGCTGGCACTGAAAAAAGGCACCCCATAAGTTGGTGCTGTGTCTTTCCTGCCTCTGTCGGGCACATACTTCTGTACTTCGCACTTGAAGGATTGATTGCCTTCCATCACGTGCAGCAGTAGCGCACGATCAACGCACCCCTTGGCATGGCCGTCAGCGGTCATATCTCGTGTAACACACCATTGCACGCTATGAGCTACACCTCGGTCCATCATCTGTTTTATCCAGTTGAAATGTCCCCACAAGGCTCATCCGGCTGGCTTCTTCAAGTCCTTACCTGACACAGATTCGAAGACTGACTCAGCGTCCACGGTAAGGATGGCCTTAATGCTGAGACACCTAACTCCAAAATGTCCTGAAGCCGGGTAGGCGCTTGGGGTCCAGCTTTAAGCTCACGCAACTTAACTATGGTAAGATAACAGTCCTCGAGATCATGAACAGCTGCCAATGTTTCAGCTGAGTAGCTGGAGCGCACCTGCAGGCAACGTGACTTGCAGCGTGCATCAATCAGGCGCACTACTGCTTTACCGCTGGACGCGTGTCCACGCAGTAAAAGGTTGGCCCCTCGGATCCCATATCCCTTCACTCCGCCATCTTCGCCCCCATTGAGGCGACGGCACCCTGGGTCACTATGAGAGTTCATTCCTCCTGTCGGAGAACGTTCTATATGATTGTCTCCGTACCTGGCTGCAGTTTGAACGTGACAGCGTTTAGTTTTCGTACTTGGAGGGTCGTGGGTCCCTGTGCACGCTGCAAGGATACCACGTAAACCATCAACCATGCACGAGCGACCAATGCATATGCCAAGGCGCCACGTAAACTGATGAACACGTCGGATACCGCATTCGTCGCCTTCTCTTCTGCTACAGCACCCGTAAGTTCTGGTTGCTGCATTGGGAAAAGTTGTTTGATATATTCATCCTGATCTAGCTGGACGTGGCCGCCCTCGACCTCAGCGCGTCGCGCGGCGCAATTGGTGCAGGGTTTGCACCCCGGAGTCCTCCAGGCTCCGGCAGCCGCCTTCCCCACCCTGCTCGACAGGGCGGGGGGGGTCCCAGCCAACCCGGGTGCTCCACGGGCCCCGCTCCACGGAGGGGACTTTCTCTTCTCTCTCTCTATTTCTCTTTCTCTCTCTCTCTCTCTCTCCCTCTCTGTCTCTCTCTCTCCCTCCTCCTATGTTCTTCCTCCCCCCGTCCCCTTGTCCCCTACCTCGTACCGAACCCGATGATTTCCCCCCCTGCCCTTGCACTCCCTCCTCGCCCTCCCCTCCCGCTTCCCATTTCCCCCCCAACCTCTCCCCCTCCCCCTTCACCTTCCCTCCCCGTCTCCCGCTGCGCCTCCCGGCTCTCCAGTCTCCCGCTGCCACCTCCCTCCCCGTCCCCCTCTGTCCGCTTCCCCCTCCTCCCCCCCCCTCCTCCTCACTCCCCATCCCTTCACATCCCTGAATGTCCATGCCTCCCCCACCTTCCATCTCCCACTCCCCCCACGCAATCCCCAGTCCCCCCCCCCTCCCACGGGCACCCGTACCCCTCAACCCCATCCGTTCCCTTCCCCTCCCACTTCTCTCCACTATCCCTCCCCCCTCACTCCCTCCCATCTCCCTCCCCTTTCCCGATCCTGTCCCTGCACTTTCACTCCATTGTCCCTCCCCTTTCCCTCCCTTCCCCTCCGCCCCTTCCCTCCCCCTTCGCCCCTCCTTCGGCAGTGCGCTGGGACCGCCTTGTTCCGACGAAGGAACGTCGACATGTCCACCTGGCCCGGTGGCGGCGCGAGGCAGCCGAGCGGCGCGGCCTGGGCTTCCTCGGAGTCTCCGGACACCCGCAAGGTTGTTGGGAGCCTCCCCCCGGAGAGAGCCGAGGGATCCCAAAGCAGGCGTGAGGGAGGACGGAAGGCCTCCTCACGCCTCACCCTGCCCTCGTCGCAGGCCGCCGCCGCCGACGGGGTCCGCCGACCTGGGCGGAGGCCCCTGTGGACCCTCGCCAGGTTCTCGCGGGGCGGGGGGGGTGCAAGCGGGGACGGCCCTGCGAGGGAACGTGGAGGGGGGGGAAAAGGAGTCCATGAAAGTGAACGAGGGGTCCATGAGAGAACCCCCCCCGGCCGACCCCGCCGCGCCACCCCCTTGTGCGCCACCCGCGAGCACGAGACACGGAGGGAGGGGGGAGCAGGTTGGACGGCCCCAACGGGGAAACACTTTTTTGATTCGCGGGACGAGAGCGCTCCCAGGGGGGAAACACTCGCCACAGGAAAACCGGACTTGGGGAGGAGGCGCCCTTCAGAGAGGAACCTGTGTCACCAGGAGGAGGAGGGAGGGAGGGAGGGAGGGACGGAATGTCGCTCGGACTGCATATTGATGTGCTACGCTTGCTTCTTCTTCCCCTTCTCTCACCAGAAATCGATGCAGAAGCCTTGCAACGTGGTACCTCCATAGGGCGGGGGCCCTTGCCTCAGGCATGGCCCCCAAAGGGGGGAATGCACTGGCGCCCGTCTTCCTCCAGAGAACCACTGACCCCACAACAATCGGCCGTCGGTGGCAGCCATGAGCGGTGCACCCACCACTCCGGCCTGGCGGCACAAACCACCAGGCTCCAGCCACTCCCAAGGGGCAGCATGGAGCCAGCGCGAAGAAAAGAGCACCCCCCATGGCTTCTTCACGGAGGCCTCAAAACGGCCCCCAACAGGCCCCCGAGAGGCCCTACGAGACATGCCAACGACCATGAGGCCTTTGACCTACAACCCTGGCACGGTGGCGGGATGGGCCGAAGGCCATTAGATCCGCCGCCCCCTGCTTGCAGGGGTGCACGGCGTGCTGGACGTTTCAGGTTTTGGTTTTGGTTCTTTTTCTAAAAGAACTCCCCAGTGGGCTTCGGCCCGTCCCGCCGGCCACCCGCAAGTTTCCGAAAATCCGTCTGTCAATGCACCAAAAACGGCCGTTTCGCTCGGGACATCCTCAAAAAATCGCGAAGATGGCCCAAGATGGCCTCCAAGTCCGCCCGAGATGGTCCAAGACGGCCTCCAAAACGGCCCAAGAGAGTCCAAGACGGCCCAAGACGGCCCAAGAGGCCCCCCAGAGGCCTCCCAGACGGCCCAAGAGGCCTCCAAGAGGTCCTCCAGGAGAGTCCGAAGAGGCCAAAATCATTGATTTTCCCTTGGTTTTTGAAGGATTTTGGCATTTGCGCCTTTTCGGCTCTCCGACGGCTCAAGACGGCCCAAGAAGCCCCCAAGATCGCCCAAGAGGCCCCCAAGAGAGCCCCATGATGGCCCAAGTGGCCTCCAAGATGGCCCCTAGAGGGCCCCAAGAGGGCCCAAGAGGCCTCCAACACGCCCAAGATGGCCTCCAAGACGGCCCTGGAGCATTCCAAGCGGGCCCCAAGTCGGCCCATAGAGGCCCCCCAAACGGCTTCCGACGGCTTCAGACGTGCCAGGAACCCACCAAGATGGCCGAAGTTGGCTCGAAGCTGGCCCGAGACGGCCCAAAAAGCCCCAAAGATCGCCCAAAGCTTGCCCAAGAGGCCTCCAAGACGGCCAAGATGACCTTCAAGATGCCCACGTGTTCCCCGAAGGCTTTCCAAACCGATTCGGGGAACACGTGGTCCGATAGCTTGGCAGGTCTGGCCTCAACGTTCGGCCACATAGGCGCTTCCAAAAAGGCAGGGGGCGGCGGTGATTCGCCGTAGGCGTCTTCGATACATACGAAGATGCTTCTACACATGTGTGCATATACACAAGAACATACAAGAACCCTCGCAAGCGCTTCGTGCGCGCTCAAATTCTAATTGATGAACGCGCGCCCAGGGGGCACTATCTTGGCTCATCCAAAACGGAAGAGGGAAAAGGCAAGAAGGCAGAAGCGAGGGGGCTGAAGGGGAGAGGAAGGAGGATAAGGAGTGGGGAGCAGCAGGAGAGAGGAGGAAAGGCGAGAGAGAGGACGAGCAGGGTGGACTGAGAAGGGAGCAGGAAGAAGCTACAGACGGAGCAGGAGTATGGAAGAGAGATCGTGGAGGGAGAGGGCGGAGCATGGTTGCGATGCACCAACCACAAGGTGGGGTGCAGAAAGCTGTAGACGAAACGCACTGAGGGAAAGTGCGAAGGCACGAGTGGAGCCTTGGGACTAGAGGGAATATATACCGAGGGCTTCGTCAAACCGTCCTGGAGCCAGCTTGGAGCCTCGTGAAAGGGATCATTGATCATTTTCAGTCCATTAGGCTACACATGCTGGGCCATCATGGGGCCATCTTGAGCCCAACTTGGGGTGATAGTAAGAGTGTGTTCAATTCTCCACTGTACGATTCACCATGATGTGGACAACCACTGGAAGAGCATCAATGGGCAAATGATCGCAAGACTCAGAGAAATGCCCAACGGTACCAAGGAAACTAATGCGTGAGGCCGCTTGCCCACTGCTGATAATGATCTAAGTTCAATACAGTATATGCAAGTGCGCATTACCGCTGCTCAGAATTACGCGCAAGTCCGCATAGCTGCAGAACTTCTTGTGCGCCTCTACCAGAGAGGTGGCACACTGAACAGTTATTCAGACCTTCTCAAAGGTACTAGAATTCTTGCCATGTGGCGTGCAGCCCACCCGCGAAAATGTCCCAGCTGAAGACTGGTCGCAAGCTGGAGCGCACCGTTTGCGAGAAAATATTGCAATCTTCGCTTAATGAAGCGAGTGTCGGCCCATGTGCCTGGCGCTCAGGCTGATGACAACATCACGCTGATAGCAACATGCAGAGGGAGTATGGCTACTGGATTCTCCCTCCCTTCCCTCCCCTCGCTCACTGATGTAGCTCTTGTTTCATCGCTGCTTCTGACCCGCTCGTCCTGAAATCATCTGTGCTCGCACAGCCTTTGAATCGGGGCTGCCACCGTGACGAACGCGAGAGAGAAACACATCACCAACGATAATCTCTCACATCGCAACGGAGCGCGCGGGGCGCGCCGGATAGTCCCGCGCCACGCCGCTGGCCACGAGGAACGCGAGGCCGAAACCAGGCTGCCTGAGCGCGGCGCGCCTCGTCGCACGGGGGGGGCGGCTACCTGGGCACGGCAGCGCCCCCTCGCGCGAAAGGAGCTCGTGCGCGTTCGATCATAGACTCCGCGATACCCGCCCGCCTTCGGCGCTGACTGACGGTCTTTCGGCGGCCATCGAAGGTTTTTCGGCGTGGATCGGCGATCCTCGGTGGGCATCCCCGGTTCTTCGAGATCCTTTGGCGGTCTTCCGCACGAAAGCTGAACGGTCAAGTCCAACAAGGAGCCCATGGCTGAACACCGAAGGGCTCCTCTACCGTCTCCGCCTGAGGAGCAGGGAGGACGGCTAAAGTCAGTCGGGCTCCTTTGCCTGGCGGTGGCCACGATATTGCGCATTGATTTGCACTTGAGTTTTGGAGCCTTCAGGCGGTCCCAGCCTCTCTCGATCTGTCAGGGGGCCTTTCTCGAATGTGGCATCCAAGTGGTGTGGAACTCGCACAGTTTCTTTTGCAAGCTTCACCCGTGCCTTTGAGGACGACTGATACGAATCTTTGCGCGAGGGGGTCGGAGGGGGGTGGCAGGAGCTTCCAAGCATCGGCTTATTGGATGGACAAGAACGTCCCTCGAACCCAGCTGCATCGTCACGGAATCGAAATAGAACCGAATCGGCCAAGCAAGGGTGTAAATCTAAGCCGTGGAAACATTGGGCGCACATCGGATGGCCAGAAAATCCGACTCGATCGGATGGAGCAAGACAAACTCTATATCGAATCGAATCAGTCAAAATCGAAATGGACTCTGGGCTGGTGCCTCCTCCAGCAAGGGGGACTCAGAGGAGGGAGGGGGCAGCAGAGTTTTAGGACGGTCTGGCAGGCTTCAGGGCGATCCTGTAGGTCCTGTGGGGACACACCAACCCTCTTTGCGTAATCAGTTTAGCGGATCCTCTCTTCAACCCTATTCTTCCCCTTCAGACCCCCCCTGGAGAGCGTGACAGGGCTTCGCGAAGCCATCGGACTCCTCGATGGCACTATATTGCCCCAAGATGGTGCAAGATAGGCCAAGTAATGCCTCGAATGACGCAGGGTACTTCAGTTGGGCTCTGGCCCAAAGATCGTCGCAAGACGGCCGGAGTTGGCCACGGTTCGCCCCCTGATTACCCCAAGACTCATCCTTCCAAAACCGAATGGTGGTTAAACAGATGGCGTTTCTGGTTGGCATTTAAATCCTCAAAATTACCTGAAGATGGGCCCCAGAGGGCCCCAAGACCTACAAGAGTCGATTGTTGGAGCTTCAGAGGGGCAGCACAAATCAAGAATCCCCCCCTCATGTCGAAGGTCTTCAGGATGGCTCCAAGGGGGCTCGAAATGCCCCCGAGAAGGCCGCGAGAGAGCCCCAAGAGGGCCACCAAAACTCCCTCCCCTCGCTGCTTTTCCCGCACATCCCGCTTCCCCAAAACGAAACTGGGAGCAATTTCTGAATAGGTTGGTGTGGACACGCGAAGAGTCCTCTTCCTTTGCCGTTACATCCCCCGCCTCCGTCGCCTCACTCTCCATCCTCCAGGGGAGATGGGAGCAAAGAAATGGACAGAGATGGAAAGGTGAAGGAATACGGAAGACGAATGGGAGGAAGAGGAGGAGGAGGAGGAGGAACCCGTATCCATTTTGGCTCAAGCATCGGCACAAGGGACCCAGCGTTCTCCAGGAACAAAGAGCCCGAGGCGACACACGCAATGGCAGGAGCCTACAGGTCGCAAGGCTCGAGGCCCTCGGACCGAGAGACGGAACCACCCGGCGACATTGGACCAAGGAGGGCCTACGAGGGCGAATCCCACGCTTACGGCACCTGGACGACAAGACATGATTGGGCCAACGCACCGAAATTTGCAGTGACCTCCAACACGTGCATCGTCACACACACACACACACCTCCTACAGGGACACCAGAGGAGAGGAGGAGGAGGAGGAGGAGGAGGAGGAGGAAGAGGAGAGGAGGAGGAGGAGAGGAGGAGGAGGAGGAGGAGGAGGAGGAGGAGGAGGAGAGGAGGAGGAGGAGGAGGAGGAGGAGGAGGAGGAGGGCCCGTAGCCATTTTGGCTCAAGCGATTCAGGCGAGTGCTGCTGCCAAGCGCGGCGGCCAGTCCTCAGGTGGACATCGGGCGCACGCGACTGCACGAGATCGCATGCCGAAGCTCTTCCCCTCCGCCTCACTGCCCCTTTCTCTGAGCTTCGAGACTTCATGGCCCCTCGTACCAGTGCTGAAACGAAGGCCAGGATGCGCCTTGGGTATGCAGTTCGAAAATGCAGACGTCTTCATTGTACGCAGCTGCCGATCAACATCGAGGCCGCGTATCTGCTGCCAGGCTGTCCGCAAACAGGTGGCAACAGGAAAACATCCATCAGCCGCCTCAACGACCACAGGGACTTCGACGAGCTTGATAACCCTAAGCACGGGGAAGGCTGGAGTGAAGAGGAGGACGCCGACGTCGACAGCGACGCTCTCCCCGCCCCCCCGGTGCCTGACGCGCGACCCGACTACGACCCCCCCCCCCCGGCGCTCCTCTCTTCGCTTCGCCCCATCCCCACCCCGACGCCCACCCGCACGCCAAACCCCGCGAGCATCACCCCCGAGCCCTAGGCACAGGCTGACAGGCCGCCTTCCGTCATGAGGACGGAGGCGGCCATCTTCCTCCCGGCCAGAGCCAGCCACGGCGACAACGAGGGCCTCCTGCTGCCCCCCTACATCCCTGCGTGCTACGACCCTGCTCACCACGCCATGACCCCCCACGACCCCACGCACAACCCGACGGCCTCCACGACCCCCCCCCCCACTCGACGGCCCCCACGAACCCCCAGCTGAGCCCCGAGTGGCCGCATGCCTTGCGAGGGAGCCCGTGGGGGGCATACCCGGGGCAACGGCCATGGGGCCCGCTGGAAAGACCACTGCGGGCGCCACCTCCCCCGCGGCTGGCTCGAGATCCCGAGTGTCCGCATTCCCTGAGAAGGAGCACTTGGGGGGGGGGGGGGGGGGGCATACCCGGGGAAGCGGTCATAGGGACAGCTGAAGGACCCGAACGCCCCCTCGACTACCCCACGGCCCACGCGACAGACCCCACGAGCCCCCAGCTGAGCCCCGAGTGGCCGCATGCCCTGCGAGTGAGCCCGTGACGGGCATACCCGGGGAAGCGGCCATGGGGGCCGCTGGACAGACCACTGCGGGTGCCACCTCCCCCGCGGCCGGCTCGAGATCCCGAGTGGCCGCATGCCCTGAGAGGGAGCCCGTGGGGGGGGGGGGGGGGCATACCCGGGGAAGCGGTCAGAGGGAGAGCTGGGCGCCCCCAAGACGCCCCCCGCGACGGCCCCCACACTGACGCCTGCGACGACCCCCGCGACGACCCCCACGACGACCCCCGCTGCGGCCCCCACGGCGACCCACACGACCACCCAGCGACCTCCCACTCAACCCCAATGCCCCCGCGACCCACCACGACGACGAACCCCTACGACGGCCACTGCGCGACGGCCCTGGTGACGGCCCCCCGCGGCTGCCACGACGACGGCCCCCGCGACCGCCCCGGCGACGGCCTCCCCCGGCTACGCGGGCAGTGCTTCCCTCGCGGGCTGCTGGGCGGACGACGCGACAACCGAACCGACGGCCCCCTGCCCCGCGACCCCGCGACGGTCCCCCATGACGCCCTCGACGACGGCTTCGGGGCGAGGACCTCTCTGGCGGCAACCCCCGGGACGACCCCCGCCACGGCGACGGCCAAGGCGGGCGCGAAAACGGCTGCGCCTACCACGACAGCCCCCACACCCGCCCCCGCGACGACCCCCTCGACGGCCTCGCCGACAGCCGCCGCGACAGTCTCGCGGACCACCCCCACGACCACGACGACGAAGGCAGCGGTGTCTCGTCGGGGGAGGCCCGCTCCCCGGCGCCGACACGCCGGCGGCCCGCGCCGGGCAGCCCCGGCGAGGAAGGCGGCAGCCCGCGCCGGGGGAGACGAGCCGCGCCGCGACGGAGGACGGGCGCCACCCGCTTCGACCTCCCAGGAGACGAGCCGTGAGTGGCCCTCTCCCAACCTTCCCCTCCCTCCCTGCCCGCCCACTTCTATGTTCTTCCGTTCCTGCTTTCCCCCCTCGTCCTTCTCCTGCCCTACTCTTGTGGTCATAGAGGGATGGGGTGCTGGAGATTGGGTCTGGGAGGGGAGGGACGTCCGCATTCATACATACATACATACATACATACATACATATATATATATATATATATGTATATACACATATATAAATATGTTATACACATACATATATATACACACATACATACATATATATACGCCGCTTTGCTACCAGGCGACTCCCACCGCCACCACAGGAACACCGAACCCAGGAATGTCCGTCGCCCTCTTCTCTTCACCTCGTTTTTTTTTCCGTCGGATGCCCCATGGCAGGGGTCATTCAATTCGAGGCAGCTGCTGCCTGAAGTGGGCAGGGATACAATAATACCTCGACGTGCAAGGCATACGTCGGGCTGCCTTGCGCCACTACCGTCTCTTGGCACCAAAGGGTTGCGGTGCTACCCCCCCCTAAAAAAAAATACAAAAAGCACCGGCGAGCTGGACCCACAACAGTGACCCCTCTCGATCTTGGCAAGCGCTGTTCGGGTATTGGTTGGAGGTTACTGGGGTGAACCGCCAAACCCCAGACGCGAAGGCCGACCGGGCCCAGCTTCTCACCGTCTGCCACGCAGCCGTCTTGCGAGGAGGGAGCGGTTGGAGGGGGTGGGGTTGGGATCGTCAGAAGACCGAGCTCGCCGAAGGCACGTTTCGTCCTCGCTACGCCTGTGTTTCGACCGCCGAGATCCGCATCAACAGCCCTCTCCTCCTTCCTTCCCTTTTTTCCTCTCCACCTTCCCTTTTCTCTCGGCAACAGCTTCAGCATCGACATAATTTCTTTCACCGTTGCAGGCAGGAAGGGTCTTGCTCTGGTGGTCAAGCCCAGAGCCTACAGCCCTTGCTACCGCCAGCCTGCCGCCAGAACCCTTGGAGCCGCATCTCGCCTAGTTACATTCCATGATCAATTAAGAAGATGCACGAGCCATTTTCGAACCCACTTCAGCCTACCGTCGGACAGGTCCGAGTGCTGTCGTAATACCGAATAAGCGTTTCCATATACCGCACGCGCCACATAGCTCACTTCTCCCTCTGGACCACATCCCCCTGAACCGGTCCACGCGAGGTCGCGTGGCGACTCGCGGGGTCAGAAATGATGCATCAAGGCGCGCACTGGACGCCCTACCTTTCAGCCGTCGTTGGGCCCGCCTTGTCCAGGGGGGTCACCCACCGCGGCCCACCTCACCCCCGATGTGTCGATGTCACACCCGACTGGTTTCACCCTTCTTCCCGCCGCCACCGATGCAGGGGCGAATTTCTGTCCACCGCATTTGCGCCAGTGAAGGTGGTGATCTTGGGGGGGGGAGAGGATTAGAGCAGCAAGGGAGGTGAGGGGCGACGGGTGAAACGGACTCGCCCGGAGGTGCCACGATGGCCTCGCGGCCAGAGCGTCCCGCTTGCCTTGTTGTTTCCCATGTCCCCTTCCACCTTGTGCCCCTTGATGTATCATTGTCTCCCTCTTCTCCCCCTCTTTTCTTCCCTCTTCTCCCCCTCTTTCCTTCCCCTCGCGTTTGTGCCCATAGCGACCGCTTATCTTCAGGCCCCGGCCTTTGACCGACCTCCCCTAGCGCCCCCAAGTCATTCCACCGCCGTTTCTCTGCCATGCGTTCCGTATTCATTTGGGGGGGCGCTCGTGGGGTTCGGAATGGCTGGGACCTCTCCCTCCTCCCCCGCCTCGTCGTGCGTGATTTCCCTCCATTGTTCCTCCCGTTTCGTCCCCCTCCGCGTGTCTCCCTCGCCTCCTGGGGTAGCCCCCCCCCCCTTTCGGTTAGCGGCGCCACCTTTCAATACCGGCCCTGCCTCCCTGTTTTGGGGGGGCAGAGCTGGGAACGGCTTCAAGGAAATATCAAATCAGCCGATAGCAGTAGCAGTAAGAAGAGGAAGAGGAGGAGGAGGAGGAGGAGAAGGAGGAAAACGAGAGCACGAGGGAGAGAAGGCGCGAGGTAGGCCTGTTGAATATGGCTGTGCCGACCTGCTGGAACTCCTCGGGGCAGGGCGGGGGGGGGGGGGGCGGCCGTGATCCCGCTGGGGAAGGGGAAACCGGGAGCCCGGCGGGGAAGAGGGGAGGGGAGAGGGGGAGGGAGGAGGACAGATCGGAGGAGGAGGAGGAGGAGGAGGAGAAGAAGAAGAAAAAGAAGAAGAAGAAGAAGAAGAAGGATCAGGCAAGGCATTGCAACTCTGGGGTGCTATCTGACGTGCCTACACACATTAACTTGGAGAAAAACTAGCACCTGAATGGCATCAATGATGCAGCTTCCCACAGCGGTTGGCGCTGCAGGTGGAACTCAGTCGGGCCTCGACCCGCCCTGAAACTGGGATGGGCCAGCGGGAGGGGTGATGGTACCGCCATTCTCTCGCAGTTAAACCCCAATGGCATTCGACCTAGGACGTTTTTTGATATGCTGTTTTCGGACCTTGGGCACAAAAAAAATATATCGGATCCTGAGACGCCGCTTTATATATATATATATATATATATATATATATATATATATATATATATATATATATATATATCTATATATAGAGAAAAACCAAAACAATAATAATAATAATATGAGAAAACACACACACACACACACACACACAAAAAAAACAAAAAAAAAAAACAAAAAAAAAAAAAAAAAAAAAAAAAAAAAAAAAAAAAAAAAAACTGAGAGTGAGAAGTCTTGGGGAGTGGGACCAGAAGGGGGGGGGGCAAGCATCAGCAGTCGCAGCGCTCGAGGACGAGGAAGGAGAGGGGGGCGCTCTGCGCTCAACGCGCTCAACTAAGGCTCTGAAGCGAGCCGAGGTCTCGAAGACCGCAGGCACAACTATGCACCTTTCTCTGGGCGCGCTGGCCCCCGCAGGGACAAGGGGGAAACGGGGGCCTTCGCCTCCCGCACTCACTGATGCTGAAGCTCCCCATCCAGCCCCCACTCGGCTGGCGGTCTCCTCCGTGCTCGGGGAGCTTAAGCCAGTCCCCGCACGACTGGCCATAGAGCTCAAAACAGCACTCACGCCTTGAGCTGCTCCAGCATCTTCGACGCGTCTCTCTCCAGGGCTCCACGAGGCGCTGGCCCGTGTTTCCTCTGGCCCACTTTGCTGAAGTACACAACCAGAGCCGACTCCAGCCAGCTCGCCGTAGAGGTGGTCCACTCTTAAGGTCAAGCGAAGCCCCCCCCCCCCCCTTCGCCCCTGACTTGGGCGTCGTGCGTACTCGACAATGTCGCACTTGGTCGGCCAGCTCGATCACCTGCACCTTCAGCACCACCTCGCCCCAGTACTTCCCCATGGCCTGCTTCACGCCGATGTCCGCCTGCGGGCCCGCGCCAACGGACTTGGTGAGAGTCGTCCAGGCGCGGGCAAACGGTGGCCCCAGCGTCTCCGTCCCGGTGCCCGCCTCCTTCCTCTTCTGGATCTCCTGGTGGTAGAGCGCCCCCGCCTGCTGCGCCGCCGCCGCTGCGACATGCTCGGCTGCGACCAGGAAGGTGGCGAACACCACTTCACATGCGTCTCGAAGTTCTGCCGCATTGGACAGGCTCAACTTTGTGAGCACGACGGCGAGGTTCTTTAGCAAATCGCCACCCTTTGCTTTTGCCTGCTCGGAAAGCTTTCGCCGATTGCCCCCCTGGCCGCCGCCCACGGCCGCGGGAGCGTTGATCGCCCAGTCTGGAGAGGCCCCCGTGGCCGCGCCCAGGTCGAGACCGAGCCACTCTGAGTAACCCAAGGAGACGCACGCGCAGATGCAGCCGTAGTTGAGCAAAATGGCCGCCGACGAAGTCACATAGAGGACAATCAAGCAGGGCAGGAGACACAACCGAGCAAAGATGACGAGCAGGAACCTCGCAGAATCCCCTCGCGAGCGAAAGCTCGAGATGCCTCTGACACATCACACGGCTCGAGAACACAGTGCGACACCAGCAACACTCGTTGGCAACCGAGAGAACATGCCCCAGCTCACGATACCAATGTCGAGCGATAATACGCGCGCGGACGCTCCGCTTATCCCGTAACAGGCTCCACACACGGCCCCGCCAGCATTAGAGAAGCAGCATCGACACACACCGCCCCGAGCAAAGACACGGGGGGGATCATGAGCGGCAGCAGGAGCATCCCATTCAGGAGGGGGACTCGTTCCGACAAAAACTGGCTCCGTAACTGTCGCACATCGATCTTCAAGAAATCCTCGGTTATCTCTGGATCAGTTAGGAGGAGCTGGCATTGGCCCCCAATCGAAGCCAAAAGCGCAGCCCCCTCATCTATCACAGGCATCGCCTCGACATCTACCTGAGGGGGAGGGCGGGGGCAGGGGGAAGGCAGCCAAAGAGAGCCGCGAGAACTTGCTGGTGGGAACTGCGGTGCCTCAGGAGCTCTCGGAGACACCTAATGCGACGGATCCGAGCCCCAAGCTCGATCGGCACGATGCGCCCGCATTTTAGTACTGCCTCGTTATTCAGGGAGACAGGGTGGGATGATTCGGAGAAGACACAGGATTTGCCTCTCATCGCTTTTCGGACATATTGTGCCACTGCGGCAATGAGCCTCGCATACTCGGCCGGCGTAGGCAGGAAAGCCTCGAGCCCATACATCGCCGCGTTATAGATTTTGCTGAGAAGCATACACCTGCGCACACGATAGGGCACACCAGCTAGAGACCAGAAGCTGCCTAGAGAGTGCCATCCTACGCGCATAGCCTCCGCTCGCACTCGGCATGCGGAACTGAATCGAATCGGATTCGAATTGAGGCGGGCCCCAAGGCTAACCACGACCTGAGACGCCCTTCGCGGGACCGCAATCTCTCCAGTTCGAAGCGCTTCAAGAGCCCGCCCCGCACCTCGGCCGAAGATGCCTACGAGAGTGTCATGCTTATCCAGGTTGTGCCGATACCCGCGCTGTTCTAGTTCACAATCTAGATCGGCGCTGGACCTAACACTGACTCCGACCAGACTCTCTGGCGAGTAAAAACGTGATCATACGAGCTATTTTGTTAAGCCATCAGCACACATGGTGAGTGACATATCCTGCCACTCCTGCGAAAAAGGGCATCGCGCAAGTAGGAAATCACGCTGGGGGCCCCACTGGGTCTGCCTGCGCTGCCAGGCCTCGACCGCCGGGGAGAAACACTGAACAGAAGACCGAACTGCAAAGGAGTCGCCCATCAGGCCGCCACAGCTGGGGCGCAGAGCGACTTGCGGATCCCCCCACATACACACACACACACACACGCACACACACACACACACACACACACACACACACACACACACACACACACACACCACCCCATCCCCCACCCCCCACCACCCACCCACCCACCCACCCCCCCCCCCCCCCCCCCCCCCCCCCCCCCCCCCCCCCCCCCCCCCACCACCCCACCCCACTTCCCAACGTCACACACGCAAGCCTGCACCTCTGCTTCCCAGAAGTGACGGCCGAGAGGGTGAACATTTCGCGAGAGGCATCCTGCATTCCGCGCCACGCACTCGACCCAGAAGCATTGGCCAGGTCGCGACAGTTGGTCAGACGCTGTTTCCCAGCATTCTGGCACACGAGTCCAATGATGTTCCGAGCTAGAAGCGCTCCTTCGCGGCGCCCGCGCGCCACGAAGCCATGATCCTGATCGGTCACCGCGCCCCCACCCCGCTGAGCCATCACCCCGCCCATCCATATCTCCCCCACGGGGCCGAGCAGATGAATCCACCTGGTCTTGCCCCCCTTGCGTAGGATCGGCGCACCGCTGCTGCGGTGCCAGCGAATAGGGAGGTGAGAGGAGCGTCGGATGAGCACAAAACTGTCGAACAACGCTGCATTGAACAGAGGGGCCTCGATGCACGCTGTGGAAGTGCCGAGCCCTGCGCCTGTCCTGGAGACGCCTCGGGCCGGGTGGCACATCAACCACCACATCTCGAGTGGGACAGCCCACTCAGGAACAGCTCGCCGCCTACTCGCCTTCCTGAGTCCCCTGCGAAAGAAGAATCGTCAGCTGCCGCGGCGATCCTATGCGCAGAATCCTGCGGCGGCAGCGGTGGTCGGAAGGAGAGGCACTCGCTGCGCCATGCCTCCCAGTCATCAATCCCAGTGGCAGCCATGCCGCCCTCGGGGCCTGTCTTCGCAAACTGCTCAATCAGCTGTTCGGAAGAGCCCACAAACCCGCGCACAGAAAGATAGTCCCGCTTCTTGGGTCCGAAGCGCGAGTCCGCCGCTCTTCTGAAAAGTCGAGACGGTCCAGCGACTTCTCTGGCGCCACAGCTCACATACCTCGTCCACAAGAGCAGCACGGCGGCGTCGGCCCTCAGCGGCAAGGTAGGCCCGATTCGCTTTGGTCGCCTCCTTGAGAGCCTCCGTCACCTCTGCCTCACGCTCCGCCGTCGAGGCTTCGGCCAGACGCAGGCGCAGGTCCCGACGGAGCGCGAGTAGCCGAAGTCGTTCCTCAGCCATCCGTGAGCATGCACGTCCAGCTCCATCGCTGAAATGTGTTTTGCCCACCTCTCGGAGAAGACTGTTGAAATAATCGAAAACATCATACGCAGTCCTCCGCCGCAGCAGCTCGGTAACGCCCCCTTCATCAGCACGAAGACGCTCCTCAACCTCCTTCACGAAGTCAGAACGACCGAACCCGCCGCGGAGGCATCTCATGAGCCTGTCAATGTCCCATCGCACACGCTGCTCTCGGGCGGTGGGCAGACACGCAGGCTCCAATACATACGGAAACACAGCGTGCACAAGCAGATGATCCCGAAAGGCCTTCGTGCGGATGAGCTGGAGCTTCTGACTGACCCGCTGAAGAGGTCCAGCACTCCGCACGGCCCGTACAAACGCCCCAGACAGAGCAATCACGTCGATGCAGCTGCTCGCACGCAGGTTGCCAAAATATGTGTGAGCGAAACCAACATGCATATTCGCAGTATGCATGCCGTGCGTGTCCAGCAGCTCGGCGAAGAGAGGCCCCGCGAGGTATCCTCGTGTGGCCGAAGATTCGGGCACAACATCACGGCCGTCAAACGTCCATCGGCCCTCGACACACTCCATGCCAACGCCATCGTTGAGGCCGGTGCGGACAATAGGTGTGCTCCTCTGCGGCACCTTCGCCAGCTGCTCGGCCAGCCATGCCATGAGTAGCCTCACTGTACACTCGTAGTTGCCCCACGCCGCCGATGTCCGCGGTCGGGGGGGGGAAGTAGCACACAATGACCGACAGGTCGAGGATGCCAGATCGCGCACGGCAGTGGAGGCGGATGCCAGATCGCGCACGGCAGTGGAGGCCACGCCCTTGGAGCGGAGCGGGGGCAGCCTCACACCCAATGACATGCTCAGGCCGAACACGACGGCCCCACAACACAGCACATCCACACGAAGAGTTCGTAAACGGCGACACCTCCCACTCAGCTTCATGCAGAGTCCGCGTCCCCATACATCTCCGCCGAGTAGTGGTGCCGCGGGTGGTCCTTCCCTTTGTGCCCACCAAGGCCAGCACGTCGAAGTTCGGAGTAGTAGCAGCAATATCTTGAATACGGTCCCAGGACTTCGCAGCCAACGGGTTGTATATCCCAACAGCGCCAGGAAACTGCATTGCGGCGGCCAGCCACCAACCTACCTTCGGCGCGCGCATGTGCCGAGGAAGGACGGGCCTACTATGGAGTGCCACCGATCAGCCAGCTTGCATCGCATCTGGGCTGAAATGGCTAGAGGGATCAGGAGGGAGGAGGAGCGAGGAGCGAGGAGCGAGGGACAATGACCGAGGATCAAAGGGGGGCAAAAGGAGGAAGGAGAAAGGGGAAGGAAGGAGGTAGCGAGCAGGGGAAAGAGAGGGAGGAGGGGGAAATCCCCCCTCCTCCTCCTCCTCCTCCTCCTCCTCCTCCTCCTCCTCCTCATCTTCCCCTTCCTCCTCCTCCTCATTATCCCCCTCGTCCTCCTGTATGTTCTTCCTCCTGGCCTTGCCTGCATACGTCTGCCACTAGCGACCCCCAGCGAGGGGGTTACGCGCGCGCTTCCCCCTAGAAGAGTACGCCCCCAACAGATGCCCCTCCCCCAGCAGCATGTTCCAGTGACAGGCTCCGGGCCGCAAGCCCCCATCGTGCACCGAACTCGGATCGAAAATGACGATGCTCCCCTCCTTGCACTGCGATCTCAGAACTTCTGGTCGCACCGAGTTCACGAAAAAGGCCTTCTCCACGCAAGAAGACAAATCATGTCAGCGGTCCGTACAGAAAAACATATGTCGGGCCACGCGCGTTGCACACCTGCGCAGGAATGGGCCACTGAGGACAGCGCCGTGCGCTACGTGACGTTCTGGCGCTCTGCATTCTGTGACGCAGCAGTGCCGCGCGCCAAATGGCACGACGGCGCCACGCGTCATGTGGGCGCGCGCCATGCGGGCGCCCTGCACTCCGCCGAGCCTCCCGTGAGCCCGTGAAGGTGGCGACGGCTGCGCAGTCCGCAAGCTTCCGAAGGAGACGCGAGATCTGACCTGGACTCGCGCTGCCCTGCCCTCCGCGACACCTCCGAGGAGCCCACGAGAGTGGCAACAGTGTCGCCAGGTCGCAGCCCCCGAGGGAGCCGCGAGGTCTTGCAGGGGTCCCCGCTGCCCTCACCTCCGCCGATCCGCACAGAAGCCCACGGGTGGCAGGCCCACAGAAACGGCGACAACCGTTCAGATCGCAGCCGCAGCGAGGGCTCGGCGGGATCTGCGTGCCCCCCGACGCCGCTGGACCTCCCAGGAGCCCACGAGAGTGGCGACGGCTGCGCAGTGCGCAGCCACCCCCAAGGGGCAGCGAGGGCTCGGGTGGATCTGCGTGTCCCCCGACTCCGCTGGACCTCCCAGGAGCCCACGAAAGTGGCGACGGCTGCGCGGAAGTGGCGACAGCTGCACAGCTCGCAGCCACCCAAAGGAGCAGCGCAGAAGAAGGCAGGAGGAAGGGGGAGGAGGACAGGAGGGGAGTGGAGACCACAGTGCTCCATTCAAGATGAGGACCCAACACACGAGGGCAGGGAATCATAAAACACTGCGCGTATTGTTCGATTGTTGTGCGCCCTCCAGCACCACTCGATTTCGAGAAAAATCGCGACCGCCACGGCTTCCCACGGCACGCTTTCGAAAATCGCGGTAGTGACGGCTTCCCACTGGAGTCCGGCGCAGGGCGGACCTGCGAGAGGCCGACCTTGGCAGCTGCGCGAGCGAAGGCGGAAGCGGGGCCCACAGCGACCGCAGCAGGAGGCGGCAGCGACCTCGGGCGCCTCGGGGGCCTCGGGGCGCGCTGCGGGGACCTCGGCGGACTCTCGGAGACACGAGTGGACTGGGGGGCCTTCCTGCATCCTGCGCGAGGGCGCAGGCTGCCGCGGGCCCGATCCCTCACCCACCCGCCCTTCTCGCCCACATCCTTCCTCCCTCCTTCCTTTCCCCGCACCACTCGCGCACACCTGCACCAACACCGCTATCACTGCACGCGTCTCCCGCGCCGCTCGCAGAGGGGACCCCCCCCCTCCCCGCCCGCATCATCCGGGGAGGCCGGGCGGGGCGGCGGCATCTCGCTGCTCTCGCCCCCCACGACCCCAGGCCCAAGGCACCCCCAGGATTTTTCCAGGGAGGCCCCTCTGGCCTCCTCCAGAGCACCCCACCACGAGGCCCATAATTGCGCCCCCCCGGGGCCCCCAAAACGCAACGAAATTCTGGGAGCACCTTGGACCCCCGACGGTCCCCCGAGCGCCGCTTCTGCGCAGGAGGAACAAGGGTCCTGGGTCCTGGGCCCCAGGGCCTTCCCCCAAGACGAGCTCTTCATCCTGGATCGTTTCCTGACTGCCGTGGAGGGCCCCGAGAGCCCGAAAACGGCAAAAAGCCTCAGAACCCGTGTCTCTCGGGACCCGCTTCCCCCCTGGCGACGACTCCCAGTCTCCAGACCACGGGGCTCGCTGGCCTCGCCACGGCCGCCCGCGGCCCGGATCCTTCCAGGAAGGTCCCCGCGGCCGCCCCCCGGCACGGAGGACCCCGGCAAGCTGCCCTGGCCCAGTGGGTCCATGACCCCGGGCAGCAGCTGCAGGCAAGAGGGGGGCGAGGGGGGGCTGCCTGCTGAGAGGGCAGGGAGCTTCTAAGAAGGGTTGGAGGCGCACGGCAAGGCTCTCTTACAGAGCAGGAGCGATCGGCTGCGTAGCGGGCCACCCGCCACGCCCCACCCCCTTGCGGGGGAGAACAACAAGGCACGGACGTATCGCCAATCCCGAAGCGCCTTCTGACCAGGCCTCCGAGGCCAGCGCGGGGCTCACCCAGAACACCCCCGAAGGCTCGCAAAGGCGAACACGAGGGAAGGGCAGCGATGGGGGCACCCCCCGAGGCTCACAACAAGCGAACACCAGTGAAGGGCAGCGATGACGGTAAGCCTTCCTCGTCTGACCGTGCGCGCCTCCGTCGAAGGACCATGGTCCTGCCTGCCTCCGCTCGGGGGTCGTCCCTTCGGAGAGCATGGCCCGAGGCACTTGCGCGGACGAGGGGCAGACCAGGGGACGTCTTGGCAGAAGAAAAGGGAACCCTGAAACCCACCGACTTCCTTGCCCCGGCCAAGATGTCCACCCCCCGAACAAGGTCGGCCAACATCGAGTCGGAAATGCGGATCGAAGCAGAAAGTGCGTCGCATGGGGCCGCGTCGGCACGGAGTCGAAATCGAAGCAGATCGGCTGCACCAGGATGCACAACGGTCACAACAGCGCCATGTAAGCATCGGGCCGCATCGGATCAAGCATCGGGCCGCATCGGATCGCTGCGAACACCGATCGCACCGGATCGCTGCGAGATCGAATCCAAGCGATCTTGCCAAGATCGATATCGGATCGGATCGATCGGATCGAGGTGGGCCCTGCTACAGTCGGACTTGATTGGAGAGGACACGCGAGAGGACACAAGACCCTTCCAAGGGCCACGTGGCCACAGGAATGTAGGAGGCATGGGTCGCGAGACGCAGGACACAAGGGTGCCCTTGAGTTGGCAGGGTCGACCTGCTAAGCCGGGCCGACTGTAGTCACCAGCCCCTTTGGACCCGCGCTCGAGCAGGCGTCAGTCCTTCTTAAACTGCGGCGACCGAACCACCGGCTGCCTCCGCGGGGCGCGCGCGGGCCCCTGCGCTCCAGGCGCAGGGCGGGTGGAACGCATTATTTTCCCGCGCTGCAGTCACATCCCCATCCACATCCCCCGCACCTTCCCCCCCTTCCCCCGCCGCCCCCTTCCCCCCCTCCTCCCCTGGCAGGCCACCGCGCCTGCTCCCCGTGTCCCCATTGTCCTCCAGCAGCCAAGTGCCCCTTCCGCCCTGGCCACTTCATTTTTCGTGTCGCAGCCCCCCTCTCAACCCCCTCCCCGCCCACGTGCCCCCTCCTCCCCGACCATAGTATTTTTCGCGCCACGGCACACCCACCTCCCTCGCGCGCCACCGCCACCGCGCCCACGCCGTTTTCCAGCAACCCAGTGCCCCCTCCGCCCCGACCACTCTATCATTCGCGTGGCAGCCACTCCCCACCTCCACCGCGGGCCACCGCCTCCGCCACCGCCCTCCGGTACAGGCTTACCACTGCCAGGCACAGAAGCAAGCTTGCTTAGCACCTCATAGTGAGCGGACTCCCGGGCCAAATTGGGATAGGCGTCCGTGAAGCCGACATCATATAACTCATTGAGAGCCTCGCACACCTGCGACGCATCGTGTGCACGCCGCTCTCGCCGTCTAGAAGCCCGCTCGGATGCAAAAATGTGAGGTGCCGCACCCGACTCTGGCAGCACAGGTGGAGGAGGGAAGAGGTCACGAGGACGATCCCCTGCAACAACCTGACCGTGCCGATGAGAATGTTGCGGTCCAAGCACCTCGGGAGCGCGAGGCAAACGATGATGCTGACCACCTGCCTCGCACTGGCCTGGAAATCCCCCAGGGAGTCGGCCACTCTCGCCTGGAGGTGGGAAGGGGCTCATCCCCCCTCGCCCGCGGGCGCGAGCCCGCCCTTGCCGCGACCACGTCCTCTACCGCGTCCACGGCCACGGGCGAGCTGCTCCTCGCGGGCCTTCCTGCTTTCTTTGGCGATGGCCGCCTGGTCTCTGAGCTGACCTGATACATACTGAGGAAGAGCGGGGTTGGTCCCTCCTCCAGCTGCCTGCGAACCCCAGCCCATGAACAGATCACCAGCCGAGTAGTCTGGATTGGATGGCGCTGCCCTGTGTGCTGCCTTGATGAGGCTCATTTGGCGGCACACAAACTCTGTCCATTCCATCGATGGTAAGTTAAGCTGATCATAAGTAGCAGCCGCTTCCAAGAGTCTACATAGAACCTGATGCTCATACACTGACCGATCTCCCTCGGGAATGCTGGCAGCTCGCAACCAACGCTCATGATGATGGTTGGGATTGGAGTCGTCATCCATGATCTGCTTGAGCTGCCAGTAGGTAGTGTGGGGCCCGTCCAGGCCGCTGCCTCCACTAGGCGGAGTGGGGCCCATGGCAGAGACCGCCTCGGCGAAACTGATCTTCCTCTCACCAGCTGCGTCAACCGAGATTGGCAACGCCCGAAGATCACCATGCACAAAAGGATACACGTCTGCCTCAGCCACCCTCCGCGCGAAGATGTGGGAGGGGCCCCACGGGATGATCGCCCTATCTCCGGCCACCAACGCCTCGGGCGGCACGGCTGCGATCTGGGCCCCCTTGGTTACGTCCGCGGCGCCCTCCGCCGCGACCCACACCATCGGCGAACCAGCCAGCGCGGGGGCGCCCCCCTGTGGACCAGCGCCAGGCACGGCTGCCAGGGCCGCCGCCACTCCTGGCCCCGCGGGCAATGGAGCGGCAGGCAGCACAGAGGCGGCAGGCGCAAGGTGAGCGCCGATCGGCGGGGCCGCCTGCACCAGGGCGACAGCGGCGGGGGCAGCGGGCCCGAGCGGCGGCAGTCCGACTGCGGCGCCTTGCGGCGGTCCTGCTATCGTCGGCACCACCGCGAGATGAGGGACTGCGACCCCCGCCTGCAAAGCTCCGCCCCGCACGTGCCGCGTCATCTCCGCGGGCGTGGGAGGCGCCCCGCATCGGTAGATGCTTCCCACAGGCACACCTGGCGGCGCCCACCGGAGCCCTGGCGAGCTCCTGAACCCAGCAATATCGCCATTGTCGGCCCTGAGGTGCTCCACGAAAATATCCAAGTAAGGCGTCGACACCGCGAAACATCCTGGCTGAGGAGCGGCCACTAGAATATGCCGCCCATGCCAGTCAGCACTTGCCCAGGCACATCGTACCTCACCAAAATCACATCACCTGGCGCCGCCGTGACGCTGACGGATGATGGCCAGCTGCTTCAGGGCGAGCTCCCCCGCCCCCTTGTCAACCACCTCGGCCGTGGACGAGAAGCTGCAACAACAGCCCGTCACAAGGGCCTTAAGTAGGCTCGCACACGAGAGAAGAATACAGCACAGCACGATGACCGACACGCAGCCGATGGAGCCCGACACGGCGGCTCCTCCCGAGGGCGCTTGCACAGCTGGCGGGCACGAGAACGTCGAGCACGCAATGCTGATAGGCGGGGTCGCACAGGTCACCGAAGGGCAATTGACTGAGCAATCTGGGCACGGAGGGCACTGCTGAGATCCGAGGGCCCAAAGGATGCCAAAGTCAGAGGCCCTGGAGGCGGCCAACTGAATGGCCCTGGAGGCGGTCAACTGAATGGCCCATTCGGATACGGCGCCCCCTTCTTTTCATCATAGCTCGTGAACTTTACAAGGCCAAAGGTGCGACACTCACTGCGCCGGGGCGGACGGCGGGAGGGACTGGGCGACGAGGCTCGCATCAGCGCCCACATCTTGATCGCATCAGCGCTCACATCTTGGACCAGACGAGCAACGCCAGGGCCCATTAAGAAAAAGTCTACGATTGAGCTGGAAGAGGGCGACCTGCACGCGGGCATACAGGGCACCAAATTTACCCATCCTAGCTGGCGAACGAGCCCCGACCCTTCCTAGACCTCTGGGGGCCGCGTTGAAGTCACCCGCGATCATGGAGCGCGCAGCGCGGGGCGGCGTGGACAGCGCTCCAGCAGGAGCTCACAAAGAGGGGGCGCGAGCCCCCTCGGCCTGAACGCCGAGCCAATGGCCCGCAACAGCGATTACCGCTCTGAAGACGGCCGCTGCAAGCGCAGGCTGAAAAGCCCGAGCCAGAACAGCCTGCGCGACGGTGGGAGGGCGGGAGGGGGGGGGGGAAGGGCACCACCCACCTGCCCACTGGCGCACCCTCAACTCCGCCCAGCACGCGCCGGCTAGAGGGGCCAGGGGAATGCCAGAGGGTGGGATGGGGGGCGGCGCGTGGTCCACGACGGTTGCCTCGCGGGCTCTTCCAGGCCCCCTGGAGGTCGAGGCGCGGCCGCGCCGCCCTGGGGGCCGGCCGCCCGCCGCCCTGCGGGGTCTCGCAGGTCGCGGCTATCAGCTCCATGAAGCTCCAGCGCCTGCGCGGCACTGGTCGCTCGGCGCCTGCGCGCGCGGCTCGTCGGAAGCGACGGCGAGGTGGGCGGCCTCTCCCGACCTCGCCTGCGAGAGCTGGGCTGCCCCGATCACGTTAATCAGAGCACCCGCTGTAATCGCCTCGGCCCCGCCTGCGACGGCCGCTGTCATCCATGCCCGCACTCCAAAGCACCGCGCCTGACAGCTGGCGACGGCGCGCTGGACGCGCGCGCCGCCGCGCCGCTCGGCGCCGAAGAACAAACCGACGGGGCGGGCGCCCATCCACTGGCTGGCGCACAGCAATCCAGGACGGCCACTCCCTGGTCGGCTCGGTGGCCTGCCAGGCCCAGGCGTCTAAACTGAGCTCGTCGCAGCGCAGGCCCAACGGGGCGCGATGCCGTCGCTCGGCGCGGCTGGCTGCGCTGCCTGCTACTCCTGCTGCTGCTTCGGCGGCCTCTGCTCCTCGTGGTGGCCCAGGTTCACCAGCTTCGCGTCGAGCTGCGCGTCGGGCCCCAGGCCCTCCAGCTGCTCGGTAAACTTCGCGTCGGGCCCCCCGTTCTCCAGCTGCTCGTCAAGCGTCCATTCGGGCTCTGGGCCCTCCAGCTGCTCGGCGAACTTCGCGTCAGGCTATAGGTCCTCTGTCTGCTGCTTCGGCTTCGCGTCGGGCGGTGCGTCGGGGTCTAGGGCGTCCAGCTGCTCATCGAGCACCGCATCAAACTCAAAATTCCCCAGCTGCTCGTCGAGCGCCGCGGCGGGCGTTCGGCCCCCAAGATGCTCGCGCGGCTTCGAGTCGAGCTTCGCTTCGGGCTCTGGGCCCCCAAGCTGCTCGTCGAGCTGCGCGTCGATCTTCGCGAAAGGCTCTGGTTCCTCCTGTTGCTCGTCGAGCTTCGCATCGGCATCTATGCCCTCCAGCTGCTTGTGCTCTACGAGGCCGTCCTCGCGATCCTCGAACTCGTCCTCGCGTCTCTCGGAATCGTCCTCGTGCTCCTCAACAACGGGCTCGTGCTCTTTGCTCGCCTTGGCCCAAAGCTTCGTCTCCAGCGGCTGTTCCGAAGAGACGACCGCGGCGCCGCACGTGCAGCGGACCGCATGGGCCTGCTCGCGTCAGTGCTGCTCCTGGCCTCACGTTGCGGAGGGCGTGATCCCGATGACCACGCGCGTGCTTGCATGGCTGCTGCGCCTGGGCCGCCGCCACCGCGCCGCTCGTCTCCGCCAGGGACGTCGGCACGTGCTCCCCAGGCGTCCGCGCGCAGGCCTGCTGCCGCCGTGGCCCACGCGAGGGCCAGCGGCGGCCCAGGCGATGCCACCTGCGGAAGCGGCCGCCGAGCCCTCGCCCAGGGCCACAGCGGCGCGCCGTGCGGCGTTGCGCCGCCGCCTCGTGCCGCCTGGCACTCGGCGTCGGGTTGCGAACCACTGGAGCGCCAGGCGCGAGGCGGCCTCTCGGTCTCGCCAGGAGGCCAGCGCACGGTCGGTGCTGCCCGGGGCCCTGCGGGGGACCGCCTCGCATGCCAGCTGGCAGCGCCGTCGGGCCGCCCGCCGGGACGCTGATGCTCTGATGTCGGCGGCTTGCAGTGGGCCGCCACGTCGGCGGGCATCCCCCATAGCAACCGTATCCTCAAGCAGCGACGCGCGCACCTCCAGCAGCTGCAGCCTCGCGGCGGCCGCCGCCGCCGCGGCAGGCGGGCATGCCGACCGAGCTGGTTCGGGCGATGGGGGTGTCGCTAGCTGACAAGCTGCTTGAGCAAAAATGGTTATGGACTCCTCCCCCTCCTGCACGCGTCGCCCGCTCGCCGACCGCGCGGGCCTGGGGACGAAGAAGGGCTCGTACTGCAGCTTGGAGCCGGCGCCGTCCTGCGCAGGCCACAGCGACAAACAGAAAGAAGAAAGAAGACTGTGAGGAATGGACACACGCGCACGCCGCTCGTCACCCATGCATCATGCACGCATCACGCAAAGCCATGGGCCACGATGAGTGCACGCGCACGCGGCTTCGGATCCCATCCTCGAACTGACTGCTCAACTGAATGACGGTTTTCTCGTCATCCACCGTGCAAACCATCGTTGAGATGAACAGGCTTGCGTGGGCTGCTGCAGGTGCAAGCCGTCCCCGCCCGTCACTCGGTCGGGAAGAACGGGGGGGGAGATAATGGCTTGTATTGACCCTGGAAAGACGTGACACCGAAATGCATCAGCATGTGTTCCGTGATGCTTTCAGCATATACCTGCACCTTTTGGTATGTGCCAACTTGTGTAATTGATCTAGTGCTGTCGCGTATTGCTTCGAGCTTGCAGAAACCAACCAACACATACACTCTTTAAAAACAACTCCAACACTCCGTGCGACTCCATGCATGGTTGAGCAGGGAAAGCGGCACCTGCACGAGGGGGGCGTCAGCAGGCAGGATGAGGCAGCATCACGTCGGACCGGGCTGCATCGGCACGGGATCGATCCAGGTCTGGATCGGCTCCGCCGGGATGCACACCAGCGCCATGCAAACATCGGGCCGCACCGGACCGTCGGCACGTCGGAATCCACTCGGGTCGGGCCAGCCAGCATCGACCTCGAATCGGCTCGATCGCATCGAGATGGACCCTGGCGGGGGGCAGGCCGGCCCTACTCGCGCCGCCGCCCCCCCTGCTGGCTGCGGCCGCTGCCCGTCGCGCCCGCCGCGCCGCGGCGCGCGCCAGCCGACGTCGCTGCGCCGCGGCGCGCCGCCGCTGCGCCCCGCCGCCGCCGCCGTCGCCGCCTCCGCCGCCGCCGCCGTCGCCGCCGGCTGCAGCCGCTGCCCGCCGTGGCCGCCGTGCCACGGCGCGCGCGCGCACAAGTCCTCGGAGGCGTCGGCGTCCTCGCGGCGCAGGCGTCGTGGTGGTCGGCATCGTCGCCGTCGCCGTCGGCGCCGGCGCCACCTTCCTCTTCCAGCTCTTCCTCCTCCTCCTTCTCCTCCTCCTCCTCCTCCTCCTCCTCCTCCTCCTCCTCTCCTGAGGTCGTTCAGTCGTTCGGTTGATCTTGGGGTACGGGGCCAACCAAACTCACACCGACTCTGGCGGCCGTGGCCGCCGACTCGCCTGTGCTGTTCTCGCTGGTGGGGGCGGGGTGGGGGAGAGGCGGGCGCGTGCCACCGCGCGCGCGCACGCCCCCCGCCGGTTGACGAGCTCCAGCACCACGGCCGCCGCCTGCTTTCTTGTCTCCTTTTTGTTGGTGTCTCTCTCCCTCTCTCTCTCTCTCTTTATCTCTCTGTCTCTCTCTCTCTCTCCCTCTCTCTCTCTCCATGTCTCTCTCTCTGTGTCTTTCTGTCTCCCTCTCTCTCTCTCTCTCTCGCCGATCCCACCTGTCGTGATCCTCCTGCTGGGACCCCCCCTGCTCGTCTTCATCTTCGTCGTCTTCAGGGTCGGCGGCACCGGCCGTGAGGCCTCTGCAGTAACAGCCAGGCCCAGGGTGCCTCCTGGATGCGCTCCCGGTGTCGTCCGAGGTCCACTGGCGGTGCGGGAGCCGTGGCCGCCTCGAGTCTCGAGCGTGCGCCCGTGCACTGCGCGGCGTCTCCACGGTGCCCTCGGAGGCTCCCAAGAAGCCAGGAGCGGCGAGCAAACTAACGGCTCTCGACGATCAGCCAAACTAGCGGCGGAGAAAGCGGCAGAGGACAAGACGAAGGAGGAGGCAGAGGAGAAGGCCAAGAAGGAAGCAGAGGAGACAGTGAAGAAGGAGGCAGAGGACAAGGCCAAGAAAGAAGCAGAGGAGACGGCGAGGACAGAGGCAGAGGACAACTGACTAACGGCGACTAAACTAACAGTCTCGCCCTCGCGGTTTCCGATGAGTGTCTCGAGCCCCGAGGCCGCGCAAGGGAGCCCCGAGAGCACGCCCCAACACCCCACAAGGGGGTAGAAAGGGGGCTCCGCCAGCGGACCAACGAGCGGCAGGCCCCAGGCTGGCCCCACGATGCCAGCCCCACGAGGTTCCAAGATTGCCCAAAGATGGCCCACAATGGTCGGGGGCCTAAAAAGCCCCTCAGAGGAAACAATCGGAAGTCTCCCAGAAACACCCAAGAGCTCGCCAAATTGCTTCGACAGCCGAAACATGATTTTGGCTTGTTGCCCGTTTGTGACCTCGGGCATCGATGGCGAAACTGGGATGGGAACGCGTTCCGTTGAGTACTGCACTCGATCTACCTAGCGACTGTCCCCCACGCGAGATTCACCAACAACTTCCCAGTGCCCACGAGGGCATAGGCAAACAAAAGCAATGATACCCTATGGGCCCGCGGCTTGCACGAAGCGGCTGAATGGTGATCAACATCATCAGCTCCATCATTAGCATCAGCATCATCATCTCATAATAAGCATCATCATCAGCAGCAGCAGCAGCAGCAGCCTCATCATCATCAGCAGCATCAGCATCATCACCATCACCATCACCATCACCATCATCATCATCATCATCATCAGCAGCATCATCAGCAGCATCATCATCATCATAATCATCATCATCTGCATCATCAGCATCATCAGAATCATCATCACCATCATCACCATCATCAGCGTCATCATCAGCATCATCATCATCATCAACAGCAACAGCATCAATAGCATCATCATAATCAGCCTTATCAGCATAGTCATCATCAGCAGCATCATCATCAACCAAATCAGCATCATCATCATCATCATCCGCAAGAGCAGCAGCAGCAACAGCAGTGTCACCAGCATCACACAATCATCAACATCATCATCACCACCATCATCATCAGCAGCATGATCATAATCATCATCACCATCATCAGCATCATCATCAACATCATCATCATCAGCATCATCAACATCTGCATCATCAGCATCAGCAACACCTTTATCATTATCATCAGTTTCCGTATCGGCATCAGCATCAGCATCAGCATCATCAGCAGCAGCAACCTTAACATCAACATCAAAATCAATCTCATCATCCGTCCACATCATCAGCATCATCATCAGCAGCATCATCAACATTCTCCTCATCATCATCAGCATCAGCATCAGCATCAACATCGTCATCAGCCATCGTCGTCGTCGGCATCGTCGTCCTCGTCATCATCATCAGCACAGCCTACCAATACATATACATACATACAACGAATACACGCGGAGCGGCTGGTTCGCGAAGCCAGCCGACCCGCAACCCCACCAGAGTACGATCATAAGCATCATCAGCATCATCATCAGCCTCATCATCATCATCATAAACAGAATCAGCATCATCATCATCATCATCATCATCATCAGCATCATCATCCTCGTCGTCGTTACCACTTTCATCACCATAATAATCTTGATCAGCAGCATCATCCTCATAATCAGCGTCATCATCATCGTCAGCATCATCATCAGCAGCATCATCAGCATCATCAGCACAATCAGCATCATCTACATTATCATCATCATCAGCAGCATCATCGTCATCATCATCACCACCACCATGATCATCATCATCATCATCATCATCATCATCATCATCAGCATCAGCATCAGCATCAGCATCAGCATCATCATCATCCTCATCAGCATCAGCATCATCATCCTCATCAGCGCCATCATCCTTCTCATTATCAACATCATCATCATCATCATCATCAGCAGCAGCAGCAGCAGCATCATTACCAACGTCATCCGCCTCGTCTTCATCTCCCTCACATCCGCGTCTCTGTTCTCCAACAAGTCTTCGGAGCACCCCCGCTTGGGCAGCACCCCCGCTTGGGAGCAGCCCCGCGTAAAAAAACATGTCCAAGCCGGCCACCACATTGAGGGTACTAGAGGCAGTGGATGTTTTGTATGATGTTTGGACGTGCATGGCTGGAAAGCGAGAGCAAGGGTCGATAAGACTCCCTGGCAAGATCATCCTCACGACCATCCTCATCATTCTTTTCATCCTCGACCATTTCCTCGTCCTCGTCATCATCACCACCACCATCATCACCATCCTCAGAATCATCCTACTGATCATCATGCTCACGACCATCCTCATCATTCTCCTCATCCACATCATCAGCAGCAGAATCACCCACCTGCTCAGCATCCCCATACTTGACTTGAGTCGCAGTCGGTTACTGTCAAGGACGCTCCTTGCCGATGGACCAGGGCTTGCCAAGAGATTCCCGCTGGTGGGCCTCGAACGAGCGCAGGGCCTGCCAGTGCAGAGCGGCAAGAGGAAAGCGAGCACAATCAGGAATCCCAATGACTCATGACTGAAGCATGCCACGGCCCACGAAATGTCGCGCTCATACGTGCGCCCATACGCGTTCCAGCGGCGCATGACATGCACGCTAAGTATGTCGGTGATGCGATGCGATGCGATGCGGTGAGGCCGCATTCTGGCCCCGAACTCGCGCGCCGCACGAGTGCTTAGCCGTCGCTTCTGGCCGCCACGGTCTCTCAAACTCCCGCTCGGAGTCCACTCTCGACTTCGGGCTCTCACCAACCGCTCAGTCCGGGATTTTGGTGAACAGGTGCACGGTCCTCTTCCTCCTCATCATCCTACTCCTCCCACTGCTCCTCCTCCCCCACCAATTCGCCCCAATCCTGCCTAGCCATTGCTCTCGGGCAGGGGGGCCCGATTTGTGGTCGGCGAACTTGGGAATGACGCCACGGGCAAGCAAGAGTGGTGGAACACAACGTCATCAGCTACAGAGCTGGGACTAGGACCCACCAAGGTGTGCAGCCGAGCGATGGCACCCTCCGCTCTTTCTCCGCTCTCGTCCCCTCTTCCTTGCGCCACCCTCGTCCCGCCATCAAGAGAGCTACGCGGACCCGAAAGGGCGAGATCCTCCCCCCCAGGAGTCTGCACACGCACAGCCCATGCTGCGCGGCAGCCCCGATCAGCTCCAAGAGTTCCGCATGAAAGCGCAGACGGGGGCCGTCGGCAGCATTGTGGAGGTCCGTGTGTTCGATTGGGTGAGCAGTGGCAGCAGGGCGCGTCGGTGCCATGAGGCGGGCAGTAGCGGCAAGCGGGGGGGCGAAATAGAGCCCACCGTCATCAGCTACAAGCGCTCGGGCCACGGCGGGGGAGCAAGGCAGACACTGACAGGAAGCAGAAACCGCCGCGTGCGAAGACCGGCCGCGGCAGGAAGGCTGTCTGCCAGCGGAGGGACGAAGTTGAGCCCAACGTCATCAGCTACAGCACTCGGGTCACCGTAGCGTGTGCGAGAAAGGCAAGCAATGGCAGCTGGAAGCCACCGCCGCGTGCGAACCGGCTTACGGCAGCGGTGTATGCGGGAAGGAAAACATTGGCGGCAGGCAGCGGGTCGAAGATGACAGTACTCGGGTCACGGCGTGCGAGAAAAGCACCCGGAGCGAGAGACGGCCGCTGGAGGCAACGAAGTCGAATCCCGACGCCATCCACTGCATCGACTGTGAGAAGGGGCAACGCCCATCCCATGACCCTTGCCACAAGGCGGGCACCAGGGTGGAGGTGTGCGAGAGGGAATGGCGCGGCGACTATCGCAGCGAAGCTGCAGCCGGACGTTACCAGCTACAGCGTTTGCGGCAAAGGGCCCGTGGCAGCGGGCAGCGGGCCGAGAAAGTACGAGAATACGGGCAGTGGCGGCAGGAGGTGGGACGACGCAGAGCCCAACGTGACAGCAAATGTGCCGAAACGTGCGAGAAAGGGAGGCAGTGGCAGAAGGCCGGAAAAAAGGTCGCGAGCCCAATGCCATCAGCTGCAGCTCCGGGCCAATTCTCGGTGTCAGCGGTGGGCGGCGGCAACAGACGAGGACAGCCACAGCGTGGGGATCAGCTCGTGCGCAAGAGCATCTCAAGAGTGCGCGTGCAACTATTCCACCGCTCCCCTCGTCATCCACGCCCGGATGGTTTATGGTTGCCTGCCGCTGCGGGCCCAAAACGGGCTCTGAGGGTTCGGGCGTTCCTGGTCGCGCACGCGCGTTCGCTGCTTGACGACCTTCTCCGCCCTGTCGCCGCGCGCAGGTTCGCGACGCCAAAAAGAATGCGCGCGCAACTATTCGACAGCGCGAACACGGGCTACAGGGGTCGGGGAGCCAAGCGCCAGCAGCTGTAAACGACGGGGCCGGGCGGCACTGAAGGGGAACGCTGGCGGCAGGCAGGGTCCTGCCCAGTCGAGAGGGATTGCTGAGGCCCTGCGTCATCCGCCACGATTCTTGGGTTATTCGGGGCCGTCGGGGGGGCCAGCACTCCCTCCTCGTCCCCCAGCTTCGGCCCGGCAGGGCCCGGGAGCACGTCTTCTTTCACAGCAGCGGCGTCGGCTGCATCATCATCAGCTGCAACTCCTGGTCTTCGGGGCCCTCGGGAGGGGGGGCAGCACACTCCGCTCGCCCCCGGGGCTCGGTCCAGGAGGGCCCAAAGGGCGCGTGGCTTCTTCCAGGGCGGCGCAGGGAGCCCCGCCCCCGCCTGCCCGACCGCCACATCCCGCTGCATCCCCCGTTCTGCCTCCCCCTGCGCTTCTGCGGTTCGCGCTCCACGGGCCTACCTTCGCCCTCCGAGGCGCACGGCCGCCGCGGGCGCGGCGGGGCACACCCAGGGTCGCGCGAGCGAGCGATCGACGAGCGAGGGCAGGCGGCGGCGGCCCAAGGCCGCAGCGAAGACAGCAGCAGGCAGGCGACAGCCAGCGGAAGGCAGCCAGCCCCCCCCCCTCCGCCTCATCCTCATCTCCCGAAAATGAGAAAGAAAAACGCGGAGAGGGAGGAGGATACGCAACCTTCCCGTTCCCCCCTCTCCTCCTTCTCCTCCGCAAAGGCTGAAATACAAGAAGAACGAGAAGCAGGAAGGTAGGAGAAGAGGCAGAGAGGGAGGAGGATCAGGGAAAGGGCGGGGAGGGGAAGGGAAGGAGGAGCAGCAACAGCAGAAGGGGAAGGGGTACAGAGGGAGGGAGGAAGGAGGGAGGAGGGACAGCACCAGCATGAGGAGGAAGAGAGAGAGAGAGAGGGAAGGCAGGCGACGACGGTTACAGACTCGATGACGGCGAAGGCGACGGCGACCGAAGGCGGCGGCGACAAAGGCGGCGGAGGCGGCGACGACGGCGAAGGCGACGGCGGCGACAAAGGCGGCGAAGGCGACGGCGGCAAAGGCGAGGACGGCGAGGGTGACGAGGGCAAGGGCGACGCCGACGACGCCGACGGCGGCGGAGGCGGCAGCAGCGGCGGCGGCGGCCACCGCGGCAGCGACCGCGGCAGCGCCCGCGAGGCGCGCGGGAGCGGCGGGCGCCGCAGGCGGCGGCGCCTCGTACGTGCCGCTGTCCGCGCACAGCTCCAGAGGCGCCTGGGGCCCGCCCCCGCGGCGCTGCTCGAGCGGCGGAGGCCGACGAAGAGGGCGGGGGTCGGCAACGTCGCGCGCCGCGCGGAGGGCGAGCTGACTGCCTCGCAGACCCCCCCAGCCCCTCGCAGACCCCCCCAGCACGCCCCCCCAGCCCAGGGTGGGGGGGCGTGTGGGTTCTGTCGGTGGGTTCTGTTGATGGTCCGGGATGCCCCCCACGGAGGATGGCAGCTTGGGGCCTTCGGCTTGGGTTGGGGTGGTTTGGTGTGCATTGAGTGGTGGAGTCAGTTGTTGGCGCACTCCAGGACTGGACCTGAACGTTGTTTTTCGTTGTGTGTTCGTGTTTTGTTTCGTTTTGCTCTACCTGTTTTCCAGTACCTCCCTGCCGAAACGAAAACCAAAGCACAGCCGAAGTCCTGCAAAACAACGTTTAGGTCCAGCCCTGGCGCACTCAGCACACGACTCGGCACAGTCTCTGCAGTGCAGGGCCGGGACACGTGGCGAGCACCGTCTGCTGCGCGCCTGCCCGCATTGCCCCCGCTCTCGGGCCTTTTTTATCGAGGGCATCAGGCCCACGACGCAAAGGCGCACAGCGGTGCACAAAGCTGCACAGCGGCCTCGGCCCGAGAGCGGCGGCCCGTGCCAGACGCGTCGGGCCGCAGGGCGGGCCACGGGGAGGAAGAAGGGGGGAGGACACAGTGGCCTTGGGCCCAAATGGCTACGATGAAGGCAGGGGGGCTCTGCCCGAATAGTGACAAGGTCTTATAAGAAGCCCACTGTTGTGTCGTGCGCTTCGTGATTAGAGGCTGCGGCACGTCAAGTTTCGTATGCTGCTCGAAAACATGGGCGACAAAATTGTTCCATGAGTTTCGGTCTCTGGGGGCCCGCTCAGGGCCCGCAGGCCCGTCGGGAGTCGATCTGGGATGGGAAGCGGACCGAGATGGACCCAAAGAAGAGTCCAGGGATCAATTTTGAGCGGACTCGGCTGGACGAGGAGGAGGAGGGGGAGGAGGAGGAGGAGAGGAGGAGGAGGAGGAGGAGGAGGAGGAGGAGAAGGAGGAGGAGGAGGAGGCGGAGGAGGAGAGGCGGAGGAAGAGGAGGAGGAGGAGGAGGAGGAGGACGCCTACGGTGACGTAGATCACGAGAGTTTGAAACGTGAGGCAGAAGAAGGTTCGTCGTGGTCGTCGTTTGGTATGGATCAAAACGTCCGTGGAAGAACGTTTGGTCTTCTGTCCTCCTGTAAGTCTCTTGAAGATCCCCTGGGACCCCTCTTGGGCTGTCGACTGGACTTCCCAAAGCCGTTGGGGGACTCGTTGGGGGCCTCTCGGAGCATTTTCCAGACCTCTGGGAAGTGTTCGACTTGTTTCATTTTCCTTGACCTTGACAACATCGACCCCCGCGGGCAGGTCCGCGGCTCGAAGGCTCCAGTTCAGACGGGCAGTCGCATCAACACTCAAGACGCAACGAAAATGCAATGCATTTCGGCGGCACCTGGAGAAAACCCAAAGTCAACAAAACGTGGCCCTTTTCGCCCCGCCCACCGTCTCCTAAAGACCGACCCCCCTCGTGGAATTATGAAGGTTGTGGAAGACGGGCACTGACTATTGCCCTGCGCGGCCGAGACTCGTCGACTGGCACGGCAAACCCAAGACAACCACTCCGCCCAGGAGCTCAGAAGTGCGGAGCAAACGAATACGAAACGTGGACCCGTATTTTTCCAAGCCGGCCCCTTCCTGTAAACCCTTGATTTTGGAAGGGGTGGAGCCTCAATGTTTGGAACAGGGTGGACCCTTGAACTTTGCAAAAGGGGTGGATCCTCAATTGTCTGAACGGGGTGGACCCCTAATCGTCTCCGAGAGGTGACCCGAAAGAACCTGCGCCAACCGATACACCTCATGTTTCTGCCAAGAAATTCTAGAATCAAGGGTCCGAGGACGGCGGTCCACCTCTCCGGGGTGGATCTGCACGAGCCACGGCGGGACCCGGAACTCTGGCGAAGGGAAGCGGGGCGTGGCAAGGGCCTATCTCCTCAAGCACGGCTTCACCCTGACACCGTCCTTCTCCGCCTCCTCTTCGAGGTCTGAACCCCTCGAGCAGGATGCGATGCAGCCCCTCCCCTCCCGTGGCCCACCTCGTCCTCTTCCCCTTCCTTCCCATCACCCCTCCCCTCGCAGGAGCTCCGAGAAAGCTTCAAGAGGGCCCCAAGACGACACCAGGACTCCCTGAGAGCCACAAAAGGCCGAAAAGCGCCCCAAGACGCCCCTCAAAAAGCCCCAGGGAATATGTCCCACTGAATGGCCCGTTCAAGCATAATTCCTGGGGCCCTCTTGGGGTCCTGTCGGGGTCCTCTTAAGCCTCTCTTGGTGTCCTCTCAAGATGGAAAGCCCCAGGAGGGCCCAAGAGGGCCCACAAAGAGCTCCCGGACAGCCCCCAAAGAGTTCCCCAACAGCGTCGTGCCAAGATCCTTTGGTATGATACTGTTGGGGGCCATCTTGCGGCCATCAACAGCATCATACCCAAGACGAAGACGAGGAGACCAACACGGCGAGGAGGATACGAACGCGACGCTTAGCTATGTCGCCATGAGTGATGCTACAACGCAAGATACACATAAGAATTCACGGCGCGTGGACCCCAAACGAAAGACTACTCTTCCGCGCCATGGAAACGCACGCGAGTCTAAAATTCACGGTGGGCCGCCGGAGCTCCTGACGGGTAAAGCCCAGTGGGCGCGCACCAGACACGAGTGGGAAAACCAAAGCAGGGCGGACCCCCGCAGAATATTCTGGAATATGACCACGCGACGGAGATGGGAAAACGGAAAGAGGAGGGCATGACGGGAGAAGGAGGAGAACGGAGCCGACGGCGATCACGACCATGACCACCACCACCACCACGACCATGACCACGACAGCCAGCGACGACGACGACGGCGACGGACATTGTCTGGAGGCTTCCGAAGGCCCCTCGAACGACACTGGAGGCCTCCGAGGGCCCTCGGACGACGACGACGACGACGACGACGACGACGACGACGAGGACGAGGACGACGACAACTACGTCGACGACAACGACGACGACGACGACGACAACTACGTCAACGCCAACGCCGACTCCGACGCCGACGCTGACGCCGACGCCGACGCCGACGCCGACGCCGACGCCGAAGCCGACGCCGACGCCAACGCCGACCGGCGGCGACGACGTCTGGCTCTGGAGGCCCAAGAAAGCCCTCGGAAGGCCCTCTGGGGGCCCTCCAAAGGCCCTCGATGGGCCTCGAAGTGCTTCGATGGGCCTCCGAAGGGTCCGATGGGCCTCAAGGTGCTCCGAATGTTTTCGCCGACGACGGCGGCGGCAGGCCCGGACACTCCGGTGCAGACTGGCCGAGGAGGGCGCGCGCGCGCGCCTGTCCCTTGCAGTTGCGCACAGCGGGCTGGGCGCCGGCCTCCCGCGCGAGGTCGAGGAGGCCGAGGACGATGAGGCCGAGGACTCGAGGTTGAGGTCGATTGGGTCGAGGTCGAGGCTGGGTCGCGGCCGACGAGGTCGAGGTCGAGGACGAGAAAGTCGGGGCCGACGACAACGAGGTCAAGGTGGACAACGACGACGACGACGACGACGACGACAACGACGACGACGACGACGACGACAACGACGACGACAACAATAACGACAACGATGACAGCGACGAGGACGACGACGACGACGACGGGGACGGGGACGTCAGGCTGGGCGCTAGCCTCCCCACCGCAGCCCACGCTGGTTATCGTCGAAGTAATCTTTCTGACGGTTCAGGGTCCCACAAACTGCCCTTAGACACCGAAAACTGTATAAGTACCTGGCGCGAATTGTTTTACGTGGTCGCCAGGGATCACCATTTCGAACTCCCCCCCCCCTCGGACAACCGGCAGTGAAACACGCATGCCAAATTGAGGAGTTTCCGGCACAGGGCGGCAGCGACGACGACGACGACGACAATGGCCTCGCTGCTGGACGGATGGCCTGCAACCACCCTGGAGCAGTCGCCTTGTGGTGCCCGTGCGGGCGCCGGCACAAGGGCCTTCGGCGGTGCTCCGTACTAGGCTACCAGATGTGCAAAGGGTGTGCCAAGATGAGGCGGCGCAACCATGCGGGAGCTGCCATTGGGGCCTTCGGTGGAGCTCCTCTTATAAGGTTACGAAACGCTCGACGGATGGCAAATACGAGAAATGAACACGTAAGAGAAGAAACGACGTTCACCGTAAGCGGATGAATACAACAGTATGAGAAAGGCGCGAATAAGGCGGGTACGGGAGCACTGCACGCCCACGTACCCCAAGGCCAAAAACGCAACGGACAGGCTGGGTGAGAAACAATCCAGGCAATAGGAAGGGGGACAGATATACCGTTCGAGTCTGGTGCTCAAACGAATCCGTCGTGCCTTCAAAAAGACAACACAACAGAAAGGCTCGACAAAACGCCCCTTCATAGCAATTTACCTCGCGGGGGGACGCTTTGACCTGGTTTCGGCAGGTCTCAGGGTCACCAGAACTCGTTCCAGTTCCAGGGCACACGGGCACCCCATGGCGCCACCCGCAGAACAGTTTTCGGCGCCAGGTGTCAGGGTTGGCAGCTACTCCCAGTGGAACCCTTAAGACTATCCAAAGAAGACTAACCGATTCCCCCACCCAGTACAATGCGAGACTATTCGAGGACCGCGAGCTGCCCAGACAGTCCGCGCAAGCCCGATCACCTGGTTGTTCAACTCGGCGATATCGCCTGTTGATGTCCGCGGGCGTCGGAGCACGCATGCCACCCCCCACAGGCCAATGCGGCTCTTGGAGATATGTGTATATATCTATATATAAGTATACATATATATATACACTTGTTCCCCATCCGCGTGACCTCGCGACACAGTCACGAGAGTCATCCCCCTACTTCTGCATGAGAGAGCTATGGTGCGAGCTCGGGGCGGCCTCCTTCAGAATTCCACCGCTGACCTTGACCGCGGCGCGGTCCTAGCTGATCTGGCCGCCCATCACGCTCAGGACTAGTTCTCGGCCCGTGCTGACCTCGGTCACGGGGGCGGCCCGCATGCCCAGAGTGTCGCACCAGCGCAAATCGTCGATCTGCTGGGCGCGCAGCTGGTCGGCCAATCACCACGGGCGGTCAGCCGCGCCGTTCTCGGACGGCGGCCGGACCGGGTCCGCGAGCAGGGCGCCAAAGACGGACAAGCCGTCAACGACGAGATCTGCGCGGGTCGCGCAACCCCTTCCCCCCCCCCCCCCCCAGCACCCCGATCTCCTCGGCAGAGGCGGGGCCGCGCACCGCCCCGCACAACGCGACGAGGCGCGCCCGCAGACCATCTGCTTCGCCGATTGCTGTGAGAAGCTCAAGGCCACATGGAGATCAGCACATCAGCTTGCGCGATCGGCCCACAGCGCCCAGCAGGTGCCACACCTGTTTGCCCGCGCGGCGGCTCCTGCCGCGACGCATGCACACGGCCCCTCCCACGCCGCACATTGACTCACCCCCCCTCTGGAAGGACCCGTCGCTGCGCGCGCTGAGTCGACTGGCGCGCCCCGTCGATGCAGAGGCGACGCGCGCCGTGATATTCTCCGCGGCCAGACGCGCCGGATGAATTGCGCGTTCTTGGCTCTCTTCGGGGCGACGACTCACGCTGCGACGCGGCGCCGGGCGAGCAGGGCGCGGGCCGCTGCCCCCAGGAAGGAGACCGAGGTCGAGAGGCTGACCTCCGGCCAGCTCGTCAGCATTGGCCTTCGCCATTCCGACGTGCCTGGTAGGTATCAAAGCAAAGATGTACTCGCCCTGGTCGAGCGTCGCAGCGCCATCCGCACTGCGGCCACGGTGCACTCCGCAGTTGGCGAAGTCGTCGCAGTCACCCTTCATCTTGCCAAAGACGCTCACGACGTGGCTGAGCAGCCGGTCTGCCCGCTCCTTGCGCCCGACAATCGTCAGATAGTCAGCATGCTTGGACAACGCGAGAACTAACTCCGAGACGCCGGCGGCATAGCTGTCGGGCGCCACGCGCTCGACCTCGAGCCCCCGACCACACCCGGCAAGTTCGGCGCCGAACGCGGGCGAGCGTGCGACCCAGGCGAGCTTCGCTGAGAAGGATCGGCGCGCATCATTGCAGCCCGTGCCTGGCTTGATGCAGCGCAGGCACTCGGCCCGCTCGTCGAAACTCGCGCAACCGGGCGCCTGCCGGACGACGGCTGCACTGCCGGGTGGCAGGGTGAAGTTCACTTCTCGAGGTGCTTCACCTTGCTCCTGCTGCATAGGTCACGCCTTGCACAAATGTCAACGGCGACGCACGCCCAGTCGAGACGACGCGCCGCCACCGAGGATAGCAGGCGCTGAGACGCCCGCTTTGCTGCCCCAGCAAACGTCTTCAGGGCTATGGCGCCCATGTCGCGGAAGCCCCTTCAGCGCAATGCCGCCATGCGGCACCAGGTGATCCTGGCAGTCTTGCCGTCTGATCCCTTCCGATGATGATGCCACTGGAGACGCGTCTGGCGTCCATGACGTTCCGCGCGCTTCGAAGCTGCCGCCTCTCGAAGAATGTGCACTTGACCCAGATGGTGAGCTCCTCGAGGATAGCCGCTGCGACCTCCTTCGATCCCCTCGGCACTTCCTCGGTGGACAGAAGGTCTGCGTCGCGCTCGATGGCCGCGGCCGCGACGGCCGCACGCATGTCCGAGGAGCGCCGGCGACGCAGCCGCCGGGCGCAGCCTCGTTGAAGCTCAGGAATGCTCCGCACACCCCTGGATCAAGGCACAACTCCACGTCAACCCAGATCGCCCCCCTCCTCCTCCAGCGCGGCGTAGTCGTCCAAGGAGGCTCCGCGCAAGTAGTAGTGGCACTGCGCGTGGATGCTCCGACGCCGGCGCTGCGCCTCGAAGTGCCGGGGACACTCTCGCGGCCTACGGCCAAGATAGCCCGCGGCGTGCTCGGCGGCGGCGGAGATCCCACGCTGGCTGTCGGCGCTCCTCAGCTCCTGAAGCTCCAGGACCAAATCTTCTGCCCCCTCGACTTCATACCAAACTGCCAACATCAGCTGTTCGACGTGGCCAGAGGTCGCTGCAGGTCTCCTGTGGTATAGCCGATGGGGCTGATGGTGGTCCACCTTCAATGGCGGTGGCGGTGTCCTCGAGAACGTCGATGACAGTCATCGCGGGTCCGCCCAGGTCCTGCCCGGCGTCTGTCACCATTGACGGCTCATCGCCCAAGATTAACTGGATGAGGCGAGCTCCCGTTCAATGCTCCCCGATAACTTGGCGGGCGTCGAACGCGACGCCGTTGAGGTGAATCTGCGGGACGCCGGCATGGTTCCGAGGGAACCGCCAGATGGCCAAGCTGCGGGCGCAGCGCAGCCACTTGCCCACCGATTTCTGTCCGCGAATGAGTCGGAGAGCGCCAACGTCTGGCAGCCAAAAGAATATGCGGAAAAGATGGCGCAGGGCTTCGGGGGCATCTGGGCGCTATCGTGACTGCTCGGTGAGCCGCGCGCCCTTGGCGCCCTCCCAGTGGCCGAAGGCCCTGGCCCCGAGGCCTGGCACCGCGCGCTCCGGGCAGTCCTCCACGCGGCCCCAGCCGATGCCCGATCGCGCCACGCCCGTGCCCTTTTCGTCGAAGACAGCACCGATGAAGGCCCGGGCGCAATGCACTCCGCGGATAATCTGGGCTCGGCAGTACTTGATGGTCACCGCTCCTCGCGACGGGTCCACAGACATGACTTTCCCGGGGTCCGCCCAGCCAGTCACGCCCTTGGTGCTGGGCGGCCTGTGGATCTCCACCTGGTCGCCCACGTTGAAGCGGCCCCACCCGGACTCGGTGGCGCGGGCTTGCGGGAACCGGTCGGCGCGCGCGATCGATTGGGGAATAGTTCGAAGCAAAGAATAAACGGGAGCAAATGATACCAGAGAAAAAACCCAATCCGGTTTTTGCTTGGGGCTACACGGCGATGGGGCTATAAGGCTATAGGGCCATAGGGCTATCAGGCCATGGGGCGATAGGGCCATAGGGGTACAGGGCTGTCGGGCTATAGGGCTACATGGCTATAGTGCTATACGTTTATGGAGTTATAAAGCTACAAGGCTATTGGGCGATGGGGCCATAAGGCTGTAAGGTTAAAGGGCTATAGGGCCAAAGGGCTAAAGGGCTACAGGGCTATGCGGGCTATAGGCTATAGTGCCATGGGGCCATTAGGGCTTTAGGGCCAGAGGGCCATGGGGCAACGAGGCTATATGGCTCTAGGGCCATAGAGCTATAAGGCTCTAGGGCTACAAGGCTTTAGGGCCATTGGACTATACCGGGCACCCGGGCGCCCGGGCACCTGGGCACCTGGGCACCCGCGGGCACCAGGGCACCCAAGCAACCGGGCACCCGGGCACCCAGCCACCTGGGCACCTGGGCACCCGGGCACCCCCGGGCACCCCCGGGCAC